AAGGCTGCAGCGCCGTGTGTACCACTCTCGGATCTGCTGAAGGGAGGGGAGCTCCCGGGTAGGAGGGGAAGCACTGGTACCCGCTCCAGCAGCACCTCTCCGGAGGCCGCAGTACTGTAGGTACCTCTCCTGCAGCTGCTGCGAGGAGAGGGCTCCTCCAGGTGTGGCACTCGCAGGCTCAGCACCCCCAGACTCAGCACCTCCAGGCTCAGCACCCCCAGGCTCCGCACCTCCAAGGTCTGCACCCCCAGGCTCCGCACCCCCAGGCTCAGTACCCCCAGGCTCAGCACCCCCAGGCTCCGCACCCCCAGACTCAGCACCGCCAGGCTCCTCACTCGCAGGCGCAGCACCCCTAGCAGGACGAGAGTCGACAGCGACCTCGACAGGCTCAACCGGGTCTACCTGGGACACACCTGAGGGAGCGGCACCCTGAGGGGGGAGGGGGTCTACCACAGCAGCACCTGGCGCGAGGAAGAGAGGCGGGGGAGGGAGCGGGGCAGTGCGGTAGGGGAAGAGGCGGTAGTAGGGGACGGACTCGTCAAAAGTGACGTCCTGAGAGGGCAGAACCCGGCGCGAGGTGACGTGGTAAAACCAGGGGCGTCCGGGACAAAGCCAAGGAAGACACAAGGAACAGCGCGACGGGAGAGCTTGTCCGCGGACGTGTCGCGAACAAAAGCTCGGGATCCCCAGACCCGGAAACGCGACGCATCGCCAACCTCTCCCGTCCAACGCAGTGTCGGGGAAGTCTCCGACAAGGAGACACGGGGCCAGAGGTTGAGCTGATGCGCAGCGTATCGGACCGCAAACGGCCACAGAAAGTGGGGAGCAGCCGCATGGATCAGGGAGGTACGAGCGACCTCCATGACCAAGCCAATGCGGCGCTCAGCAACCCCATTCTGCTGTGGAGAGGCCGGAAGCGTGAACGACTGCTCAATGCCGTGCTCGGCACAGTAGGCTGCCAGAAGGTCGGAGGTGAACTCACCACCTCTGTCAGAGTGCAAACGCAGGACAGGAAAGTCCGAGCGGAAACGCTCGCTGAGCTGGAGACGAGCTCTGCTGATCCAAGGGATCAAGACATCAGGGACCTCACCCTTGGTGCGCAAGGGGAAGACCGTGGTGTAGCGAGAGTAGTCGTCAACAACAATCAGGAAGTACCTCTCCTGACCCTGTCCACGGACGCGGGCTGGGCCCCACACGTCCAGGTGGAGCGTCTGCAGGGGAGCAGTCATCGGGGGAAAGGAGGAGGAGTGAGGAGCGGCGCGCTGCCGCCCCTCGACACAGGGAAGACAGGGAGGAGCAGGCGAGGGTGGGAGGGGAGGGAGCACCCTGGGAAGACCAGAGACAAGCTGCCGTTTGTGCATGGCACGAAGGCGCTGCACAGACGGGTGGCCAAGTCGGTGGTGCCAGAGAACGGTGTCGTGCGCGAGAGAGCGACACGAGCAGGGGGCCGACAGCTGACCTGACGCAGACACGGACGCAGCTACCTGAGGGGACTCAATGGTCAGTGTGTACAGGTCCGACCCCGGCTGCCGAGTGAAGGTAGCCAGGTGACGGCCCGTCCGAGCACACGTGCAGTGTGTCACGCGCTCGTAGGCAGGGGTGAACTGGTGAACACCCGCATCCTGGAGCGCACAACCCGCCACCAAGTTCGTAGAGAACGAGGGGAGGTGGAGACCTGACAGTGTGCCCGACGGGACCGCAGGACAGGGAAGAACAGTGGAGGAGGTCGCAATGACCGGACCCCCAGAGGGGTCAGCGAGGGAGACAGCAACTGGCCGAGCAAGCGGCTCAAGGGCAGTGCGGTCACGAAAGAAACAGCGAGAAGCACCTGAGTCCAGGGTGAAGGTGTGCAGGGCCTCAGTCGACTCAGTACCAGGGGGCGCAGACTCACTAGGACCTAGAGTAGCAGCCTCACCAGCACCTAGGGCAATAGACGTACTAGCACCTAGAGCGGCAGCCTCACTGACAGGACACGGCAGCTGCACCTGTCCACTACCAGAAGCTCCCGAACGATGCACTCCAGAGCGACTACCACTACGGCCACTCCGACAGCCCAAACTAGCGTACCACTCACGCGCACGAAGCAGCTGGGGCGAAGGAGGACACGGCTGCTGCACCTGTCCACTACCAGAAGCTCCCGACCGACCCACTCCAGAGCGACTACCACTACGGCCACCCCGACAGCCCCGACTAGCGTACCACTCACGCGCACGAAGCTGCTGGGGCGTGGGGGACTCACGCGCACAGCCCTGGAGCTGCATCTGGCCACGTCAGGAGCAGCAGTAGTAGCAGTAGCGGCAGTAACAGTAGTAACAGCAGGAGCAGTGGCAGTGGGAGTAGAAAAGGCAGTTGCAGCAGTACTGGGCAATGCTCACCAGTGGTCGGCGCGGCAGGCGTAAGACGGTGGCGACAGTGGGGTTGCTACAACTGCAGGGCTGGGCCGGGCCGCAGCAGGGAGCTCCGCGGCAGCTGCGGCAGGGCGAGGCTGGGCCGCGACGGCAGCTGCTCCAGGTGCCAGGGGCGGCTGCTGCAGGTGCGGGCTGCTCCAGGGGCGGCTGCTGCAGGTGCGGGCTGTTCCAGGGGCGGCTGCTGCAGGTGCGTGCTGCTCCAGAGGGGGCTGCTGCAGTGACGGGCGGCTCCAGGGGCGGCTGCTGCAGTGGCGAGCGGCTCCAGGGGCTGCTGCTGCAGTGGCGGGCGGCTCCAGGGGCTGCTGCTGCAGTGGCGGCTGCTCCAGGGGCTGCTGCTGCAGTGGCGGCTGCTCCAGGGGCGAGAGGCGGATTAGGTCAGGGCGACGCGGCGGGCAGGTGGCGACGCCGCGGGCAGGGCGACGCGGCGGGCAGGTGGCGACGCCGCGGGCAGGGCGACGCGGCGGGCAGGTGGCGACGCCGCGAGTAGGGCGACGCCGCTAGCAGGTGGCGACGCCGCGGGTAGGCGACGACGCCGCGGGCAGGCGCCGACGCCGCGGGCAGGGGACGACGCCGCGGGCAGGCGACGACGCCGCGGGCAGGCGACGACGCCGCGGGCAGGCGACGACGCCGCGGGCAGGCGACGACGCCGCGGGCAGGCGACGACGCCGCGGGTAGGCGACGACGCCGCGGGCAGGCGGCGACGCCGCGGGCAGGCGACGACTCCGCGGGCAGGTGGCGACGCCGCGGGTAGGCGACGACGCCGCGGGCAGGCGGCGACGCCGCGGGCAGGCGACGACGCCGCGGGCAGGCGACGACGCCGCGGACAGGGGCTACGTCGCGGGCAGGCAACGACGCCGCGGGGAGGCGGCGACGCCACGGGCAGGGCGACGCGGCGGGCGGCGAGAGCCTGCAGGGGCGGCGCGCGGTCGTGCAGAGGCTGCGCGCGGGCCTGACGGGTGTGCAGGGGCGGCTCTCGGGCCTGACGGGCCTGCAGCGGCGGCTCGGGGGCCTGACGGACCTGCAGGGGCAGCTCGAGAGCGCACGAGGGCGCACGAGGGCGCACGAAGGCGCACTAGCAGAGAAAGGCGCACGAGGGCGCACGAGGGCGCACGTAAGGTAGAGCGCACGAGGGCGCACGTAAGGTAGAGCGCACGAGGGCGCACGTAAGGTAGGGCGCACGAGGGCGCACGTAAGGTAGGGCGCACGAGGGCGCGCCTAGCGGAATAGTGGGCCCATTGTAGAAAGCGGTCCTAGGTAGCAACCTAGGCTCTGATACCATGTCAGAATCTAGAATAGAACGAGAATGGATGAACTAGCAGGAAGGTGGGTACAAGTATGAAACCCTAAGTTTGTGTACCCTCTAAGGCTAAACCCACTATAGCCTACACAATATAAACATACAATGTTTGACACTTGTATGACCTGCACACAAGCGTGCATACTGACCGAACCGACCAACGCATTATTTTCTTTGTAGAAGTACAGCGTGTATCACATATGTTTCACTTTTCAAGTGTATCACAAAAATTGGGAAACTATATTCCAGATCCTTAGTTTCAGCTTTTCTCATATTTACCCCTAAGTTTACTCAAAAGGTACCACTTTCTGGCATTTCGCTCACAAGAGGCCCAAAGTATGTTCAAAACTGGTCCTGCGGGGCAAAGTTTTGACACGTGTCCTCTTTTACAATCTGACGCACTTCCACTATAAATTAACCGTTTGTCATGACAATTTTTGCGCCGGGAATGTTTTTACGTGACAAAAAAATATAAAACTCTTAGGAGACCCAGACACATTTTTGGGACAGATCAACCCTAAACACGGGACCTTCGAGGTGTTTAGGGTTGATCCCTCCCGCAAATGTGCCCAGGTTCCCTAAGGGTTTTATGTTTTTTTTCCCCCCATCGAAATTTTCCATACGTTGAATTGCGTCAGATGGTGCAAAAGAGGACACGTGTCGAAAAAATTGCCCCGCAGGACCAGTTTTGAACATAGTTTGGGCCTCGGCGTGAGGGAAATTCTAGTCAGTGGTACTTTTTGAGTAAACCTGGGGGTAAATATGAGAGAAATCTGAAAGTAAGGATCTTGGATATAGTTTCCGACAAAAATTGCCCAAGGGCACACGCCCGCGTCTCTGAAAACACCCATCCTCCGTTTTGTGAGCGAGCGCGAGCGGGACTGCCAGAGCGATCGACTCACGCCGATCGTACAGCTCGACAGGAGGACATCAGTCACACCACCGCAAGACTCCCTCGTGTCCTCGCCTCCGCCAGAAGAGTGCAAGCCTCGTGGCGCGGGGAGGAGGCAGCCCGTCCGCCAGCTAGCCTCACAACAACCACTCCTTCCCCCGCGCCATCCCTCTTTACAGCTCCCCTTCCCTTCCCCCTTCCCCTTCCTTTCGCATCGCTCCATTCACTGTTCCCCTACCTCGCCCGCTTCTCCTGGTGGTCCTATTGCGCGAATTCCTCGCTAACGGAAAAGAAGAACGCAGACAGTACTGATGTCACTACGCGCAACAGTTAGCAGTTGCCCGTTAGTTTTCCGCCTCGCATCCGCCGCTCTTCGCTCGTGCCGTGCGATTCGTAGCTAGCCATGTCTATCGTGACACACCTCCACGGAATCCGGATAGCACTTACTGTCAGCACATTTGCAGCACTAGACTCGCTCAACGTCTCGCGTTTACACCTAGACAACGTTACTTCCAGTAGCGTCAGCATGCAGTCTGGCCGCACCGCGAGATCTCATTCCACGTGTCGAAATGCCGTAGCTCGGAGACGCATCCACCTAAGGGCATACGCTCCCAGAAAAAGAGCTCATTTACGAGGCAAGAATGCAACGCGCTTGTCTTTAGCACAACTGCTTTTGCCGCTGCTGCTGTCTCTAGTCCTACCGTACGCGAAGGGAGCAGCGGCGCAGGGCAGGCCAGATGCCGTCACGAAGCTACCCGGTCAGCCGGCAAGCGCGCCCAAGTTCAACCAGTCAGCCGGCTACATAACGGTGGACGGGCGGAAGGCGTATTTCTACTGGCTCGTGGAGGCCATCAGCCAGCCCGACTCCAAGCCGCTGCTGCTCTGGCTCAACGGCGGTGAGTCTTAGGGCGCGCGCGAGCCTTAGGACCTCTGCCGCGGCGCGTTAAAGAGCGCGCAACGGCGGTGCCTTACAGGACGACCGTTACCGGCTTCTGCTGATGAAAGAATGCGCTTTTGATTATTCTTTTCCCAGCAGCCGCATCGTGCCATATTCCGGTGCACCGGTCGTCTCTCCGCCGTGTCCTGCGCGACCTCGCATGTGTTCCGCGAAATCACGTCTCCCTCTCCTGGCCCCCCTTCCCCCCATCTCCGCATGTCCCCATCTCCCCGTGTCCGCGCGCGCGGCAGGTCCGGGGTGTTCGTCGGTGGGGTGCGGGCTGTTCGAGGAGGTGGGGCCGTGGCGCGTGGCGTCCAAGGCGGGCGCCGCGCTGCTCTACAACAGATACGCCTGGAACCGACGTCAGCGCTCTCCCCGCCCTCCCCGCTCTCTCGGCTCTCCCCGCGCTCGCCGCTTCTCCCGCTTTCTCCGCGCCCTTCGCTCTCTCGCATTCCTGCACATCCCTTGAGCCCCGCCTCGTCCGCGCGTTACGCTGCACACGCGCTCGTTATGCCACCGCAAGCGCACGGTTCGCGCCCGACTTTCGCACCCGTGCTCTCCATGCCTCTCCGCGCCTCACCTCCCCCTTCCTCCCCATCCCTTCCCCACTTTTTCCCCACCTCCCCTCTTCCCCTCCCCGTCGTTCCCCGACGTGCGGCGCGCGCGCAGTGGTGAACATAGTGTTCCTCGAGTCGCCCGTGGGCGTGGGGTATTCCTACTCCACCGACTCGGCAGACTACACCACCGACGACGACCAGACAGGTGATGACACGTCTTCAGTCTCATGCCATGTCTGCGCGCGGGCGCGCTGGCTCTGCTCCGCGCCATCAACGACCCGCGCTGCCGCCTCCCTCAGTTGTCTCGCACACTCCGCTTTTCTTTCCCTAGCATCCCTTTCCCTTCGTCCCTCCACCCCGTCTGCCCCCTCACCGCCGCCACCTCGCTCCTCCCGCTCCCCCCGTCCCGCCGCAGCAAAGGACAATCACGCGTTCCTGGTGGGGTTTGTGGCGCGGCACCCGCGGTACGCGGGGAGAGAGTTCTACCTCGCGGGGGAGAGCTACGCGGGTAAGGGGGAGAGCTGCGCGGGTAAGGGGGAAAGCTTCGCGGGTAAGGAGGAGAGCTGCGCGGGTAAGGGGGAGAGCTGCGCGGGTAAGGGGGAGAGCTGCGCGGGTAAGGGGGAGAGCTGCGCGGGTAAGGGGGAGAGCTACACGGGTAAGGAGGGGTATGGTGGGAGAAGTGCAGTGACTGTAGTGCGCTCGTGCCTGCTTCTTCAACTTCACCCTCCTCTGTGTCTGTCTCGCACTCACTCACACCTGATACCCTCTTGACTCACCATGCTCCCCTCTCGTCCCTGCCGCCCGTCTCGCCTCACTCAGGCCACTACATTCCACAGCTCGCCGCCCGCATCATCGAGCAGAATCAGATCCAGAACGGCACGCGGCTCAACTTGGACTTCTCAGGAATCTTCCTAGGCAACCCGTTTGTGAACTATGCCTATGACACCAAGGCAAGCGCGTGACAGCAGGGCAAGCACGTTCGTTGTTCCTCTCAGTGGCGTGGTGGTTGGGGGACGTGGAAATCAAACTTGCAGTGTATTAGCTAGTAGATTCGCTTGTGCTTGCGCTGCGACCAGCCCGGCGTCCCACATCACATCACATCTCACCCCGCACGTTGCCCGTGCCACATGCACTCTAGTTTATGTGTGATGGCGCCATGCACCCGAATCATGCCCCACCCGCCCACTCCGCCCCATGCGCACACACTCCCCTCCCCCCCCCCTTCCCCCCGCAGGGCCCCATCCAGTTCTTCTACGACCACGGCATGCTCAGCACCGACCTCTACACCGACGCCATCAACGTACGCCCTGCCCTGCCTTGCCCTGCGTTGCGCCCCACCTCGCCCCACCCCCGCCTCTCCCTCCGTTCCCAACCCGCCCCTCGCCCCACCCCCTTAGTTGCGGAAGACACGTCTAGCGTCTTAGACGCGTCTGTCTAGACGCTGCGTACGCTAGACGCAAGACGCGTCTAGCGTCTTCCGCAACCCCATCAGGTTCGTCCCCATCAGGTTCGTCCCCATCAGGTTCGTCCCCATCAGGTTCGTCCCCATCAGGTTCGTCCCCATCAGGTTCGTCCCCATCAGGTTCGTCCCCATCAGGTTCGTTCCCATCAGGTTCGCCCCGTCAGGTTCGTCCCCATCAGGTTCGTCCCCATCAGGTTCGTCCCCATCAGGTTCGTCCCCATCAGGTTCGTCCCCATCAGGTTCGTCCCCATCAGGTTCGTCCCCATCAGGTTCGTCCCCATCAGGTTCGTCCCCATCAGGTTCGTCCCCATCAGGTTCGTCCCCATCAGGTTCGTCCCCATCAGGTTCGTCCCCATCAGGTTCGTCCCCATCAGGTTCGTCCCCATCAGGTTCGTCCCCATCAGGTTCGTCCCCATCAGGTTCGTCCCCATCAGGTTCGTCCCCATCAGGTTCGTCCCCATCAGGTTCGTCCCCATCAGGATCGTCCCCATCAGGATCATCCCCATCAGGTTCGTCCCCATCAGGTTCGTCCCCATCAGGTTCGTCCCCATCAGGTTCGTCCCCATCAGGTTCGTCCCCATCAGGTTCGTCCCCATCAGGTTCGTCCCCATCAGGTTCGTCCCCATCAGGTTCGTCCCCATCAGGTTCGTCCCCGTCAGGTTCGCCCCGTCAGGTTCGTCCCCATCAGGTTCGTCCCCATCAGGTTCGTCCCCATCAGGTTCGTCCCCATCAGGTTCGTCCCCATCAGGATCGTCCGCATCAGGTTCGTCCCCATCAGGTTCGTCCCCATCAGGTTCGTCCCCATCAGGTTCGTCCCCATCAGGTTCGTCCCCATCAGGTTCGTCCCCATCAGGTTCGTCCCCATCAGGTTCGTCCCCATCAGGTTCGTCCCCATCAGGTTCGTCCCCATCAGGTTCGTCCCCATCAGGTTCGTCCCCATCAGGTTCGTCCCCATCAGGTTCGTCCCCATCAGGTTCGTCCCCATCAGGTTCGTCCCCATCAGGTTCGTCCCCATCAGGTTCGTCCCCATCAGGTTCGTCCCCATCAGGTTCGTCCCCATCAGGTTCGTCCCCATCAGGTTCGTCCCCATCAGGTTCGTCCCCATCAGGTTCGTCCCCATCAGGTTCGTCCCCATCAGGTTCGTCCCCATCAGGTTCGTCCCCATCAGGTTCGTCCCCATCAGGTTCGTCCCCATCAGGTTCGTCCCCATCAGGTTCGTCCCCATCAGGTTCGTCCCGTCAGGTTCGTCCCCGTCAGGTTCGTCCCCGTCAGGTTCGTCCCCGTCAGGTTCGTCCCCATCAGGATCGTCCGCATCAGGTTCGTCCCCATCAGGTTCGTCCCCATCAGGTTCGTCCCCATCAGGTTCGTCCCCATCAGGTTCGTCCCCATCAGGTTCGTCCCCATCAGGTTCGTCCCCATCAGGTTCGTCCCCATCAGGTTCGTCCCCATCAGGTTCGTCCCCATCAGGTTCGTCCCCATCAGGTTCGTCCCCATCAGGTTCGTCCCCATCAGGTTCGTCCCCATCAGGTTCGTCCCCATCAGGTTCGTCCCCATCAGGTTCGTCCCCATCAGGTTCGTCCCCATCAGGTTCGTCCCCATCAGGTTTTGCCCCATCAGGTTCGTCCCCATCAGGTTCGTCCCCATCAGGTTCGTCCCCATCAGGTTCGTCCCCATCAGGTTCGTCCCCATCAGGTTCGTCCCCATCAGGTTCGTCCCCATCAGGTTCGTCCCCATCAGGTTCGTCCCCATCAGGTTCGTCCCCATCAGGTTCGTCCCCATCAGGTTCGTCCCCATCAGGTTCGTCCCCATCAGGTTCGTCCCCATCAGGTTCGTCCCCATCAGGTTTTGCCCCATCAGGTTCGTCCCCATCAGGTTCGTCCCCATCAGGTTCGTCCCCATCAGGTTCGTCCCCATCAGGTTCGTCCCCATCAGGTTCGTCCCCATCAGGTTCGTCCCCATCAGGTTCGTCCCCATCAGGTTCGTCCCCATCAGGTTCGTCCCCATCAGGTTCGTCCCCATCAGGTTCGTCCCCATCAGGTTCGTCCCCATCAGGTTCGTCCCCATCAGGTTCGTCCCCATCAGGTTCGTCCCCATCAGGTTCGTCCCCATCAGGTTCGTCCCCATCAGGTTCGTCCCCATCAGGTTCGTCCCCATCAGGTTCGTCCCCATCAGGTTCGTCCCCATCAGGTTCGTCCCCATCAGGTTCGTCCCCATCAGGTTCGTCCCCATCAGGTTCGTCCCCATCAGGTTCGTCCCCATCAGGATCGTCCGCATCAGGTTCGTCCCCATCAGGTTCGTCCCCATCAGGTTCGTCCCCATCAGGTTCGTCCCCATCAGGTTCGTCCCCATCAGGTTCGTCCCCATCAGGTTCGTCCCCATCAGGTTCGTCCCCATCAGGTTCGTCCCCATCAGGTTCGTCCCCATCAGGTTCGTCCCCATCAGGTTCGTCCCCATCAGGTTCGTCCCCATCAGGTTCGTCCCCATCAGGTTCGTCCCCATCAGGTTCGTCCCCATCAGGTTCGTCCCCATCAGGTTCGTCCCCATCAGGTTCGTCCCCATCAGGTTCGTCCCCATCAGGTTCGTCCCCATCAGGTTCGTCCCCATCAGGTTCGTCCCCATCAGGTTCAGGTTCGTCCCCATCAGGTTCGTCCCCATCAGGTTCGTCCCCATCAGGTTCGTCCCCATCAGGTTCGTCCCCATCAGGTTCGTCCCCATCAGGTTCGTCCCCATCAGGTTCGTCCCCATCAGGTTCGTCCCCATCAGGTTCGTCCCCATCAGGTTCGTCCCCATCAGGTTCGTCCCCATCAGGTTCAGGTTCGTCCCCGTCAGGTTCGTCCCCGTCAGGTTCGTCCCCATCAGGATCGTCCGCATCAGGTTCGTCCCCATCAGGTTCGTCCCCATCAGGTTCGTCCCCATCAGGTTCGTCCCCATCAGGTTCGTCCCCATCAGGTTCGTCCCCATCAGGTTCGTCCCCATCAGGTTCGTCCCCATCAGGTTCGTCCCCATCAGGTTCGTCCCCATCAGGTTCGTCCCCATCAGGTTCGTCCCCATCAGGTTCGTCCCCATCAGGTTCGTCCCCATCAGGTTCGTCCCCATCAGGTTCGTCCCCATCAGGTTCGTCCCCATCAGGTTCGTCCCCATCAGGTTCGTCCCCATCAGGTTCAGGTTCGTCCCCATCAGGTTCGTCCCCATCAGGTTCGTCCCCATCAGGTTCGTCCCCATCAGGTTCGTCCCCATCAGGTTCGTCCCCATCAGGTTCGTCCCCATCAGGTTCGTCCCCATCAGGTTCGTCCCCATCAGGTTCGTCCCCATCAGGTTCGTCCCCATCAGGTTCGTCCCCATCAGGTTCGTCCCCATCAGGTTCGTCCCCATCAGGTTCGTCCCCATCAGGTTCGTCCCCATCAGGTTCGTCCCCATCAGGTTCGTCCCCATCAGGTTCGTCCCCATCAGGTTCGTCCCCATCAGGTTCGTCCCCATCAGGTTCGTCCCCATCAGGTTCAGGTTCGTCCCCATCAGGTTCGTCCCCATCAGGTTCGTCCCCATCAGGTTCGTCCCCATCAGGTTCGTCCCCATCAGGTTCGTCCCCATCAGGTTCGTCCCCATCAGGTTCGTCCCCATCAGGTTCGTCCCCATCAGGTTCGTCCCCATCAGGTTCGTCCCCATCAGGTTCGTCCCCATCAGGTTCGTCCCCATCAGGTTCGTCCCCATCAGGTTCGTCCCCATCAGGTTCGTCCCCATCAGGTTTTGCCCCATCAGGTTCGTCCCCATCAGGTTCGTCCCCATCAGGTTCGTCCCCATCAGGTTCGTCCCCATCAGGTTCGTCCCCATCAGGTTCGTCCCCATCAGGTTCGTCCCCATCAGGTTCGTCCCCATCAGGTTCGTCCCCATCAGGTTCGTCCCCATCAGGTTCGTCCCCATCAGGTTCGTCCCCATCAGGTTCGTCCCCATCAGGTTCGTCCCCATCAGGTTCGTCCCCATCAGGTTCGTCCCCATCAGGTTCGTCCCCATCAGGTTCGTCCCCATCAGGTTCGTCCCCATCAGGTTCGTCCCCATCAGGTTCGTCCCCATCAGGTTCGTCCCCATCAGGTTCGTCCCCATCAGGTTCGTCCCCATCAGGTTCGTCCCCATCAGGTTCGTCCCCATCAGGTTCGTCCCCATCAGGATCGTCCGCATCAGGTTCGTCCCCATCAGGTTCGTCCCCATCAGGTTCGTCCCCATCAGGTTCGTCCCCATCAGGTTCGTCCCCATCAGGTTCGTCCCCATCAGGTTCGTCCCCATCAGGTTCGTCCCCATCAGGTTCGTCCCCATCAGGTTCGTCCCCATCAGGTTCGTCCCCATCAGGTTCGTCCCCATCAGGTTCGTCCCCATCAGGTTCGTCCCCATCAGGTTCGTCCCCATCAGGTTCGTCCCCATCAGGTTCGTCCCCATCAGGTTCGTCCCCATCAGGTTCGTCCCCATCAGGTTCGTCCCCATCAGGTTCGTCCCCATCAGGTTCGTCCCCATCAGGTTCGTCCCCATCAGGTTCAGGTTCGTCCCCATCAGGTTCGTCCCCATCAGGTTCGTCCCCATCAGGTTCGTCCCCATCAGGTTCGTCCCCATCAGGTTCGTCCCCATCAGGTTCGTCCCCATCAGGTTCGTCCCCATCAGGTTCGTCCCCATCAGGTTCGTCCCCATCAGGTTCGTCCCCATCAGGTTCGTCCCCATCAGGTTCGTCCCCATCAGGTTCGTCCCCATCAGGTTCGTCCCCATCAGGTTCGTCCCCATCATTGTCGCCTCGCCTCTGTGCCGCCCACTCCTCCTGCACTCCCCCCACTTACTTTTTCCGCTGCTCCATGCCGCTCCCCTCCTTGCCCCTGTGCCTCGTGCGCGTGTGCGTGTGCGCGCGCGCATGGCAGTGCGACTTCGCATACGGTGCGGCCACCCTGGACTGTCGCTACCACATCAACTCCGCCTTCTCGCCCTGGGTGCGTGCGTCCCAACCCAACTGCCACGCCATGCCACACTGCTTCCTTGCTTGCTTGCTTGCTGCGCGCTTCCCTTCCCTTCCCACCCCTCTCTCTTGCACGGTCTAGTCATTTTGGCTCATAATATGGCGGCAACCGCATTCCCTCCCCTTGATTCATCTCCCCGCATTCATTGCACTCCGTGTGCCTCCCTGCTGCCGTGTTGTGGCATGTGTGTGCATGGCACTGGCATGTGTGTGCATGGCACTGGCATGTGTGTGCATGGCACTGGCATGTGTGTGCATGGCACTGGCATGGCTGGCAATGCACGGAATGGGCGGGTCTGCACCACCCTCGCCAGTACGAGCCCATCGACCCCTACAGTAAGCACCGCCCACCCACCACCATCACCACTCTGTCACCACCGCCATCACCACCGCCTCTCTTCTGCTGTCGCCCCCCACGCCCTCACAACTCACTTCACTTCCTCTCACCCACTCGCACCTCTTCTCCCTTGCTCCCATCCCACCCTCCCCCATACCACCCCTTTCCCCAGACATCTACGCGCCCTACTGTCTGGCGGACATCTCATCAGCGCGCCTGTCCGCCTCAGCGCGAATGAATCCGCGCCTGCGCTACTCCATGGCCGCCTTGCAGGCCGCCATCCAGCAGCAGCAGCAGCGGGCGCTGGAGCAGCAGCAGCAGCAGCAGCAGCAGCAGCAGGCAGCGCAAGCACAGGCGGCCGCAGGGGGCGGGGAGGTCCCCACGCCGAGCGGTGCAGGGAGCAGCAGCAGTGCGGGGATGAGTGGCAAGGCGCTGGACCCGCTAGACAACCCGGCGTGCATGGACGCGTGGGTGCAGCGCTACCTGCGCTCGCCCGCCGTCTACAAGACCCTCCGTGCGCCCGCTGCCCGCGCCTCCCAGTGGAGCCTCTGCTCGTAAGCCCGGCGGGCGGGTGGGCGGGCGGGCGGGCAGACAGCCAGGCAGGTTGTGCTGGGTGGGCAGCGGGCGCGGTGGTATGCACAACGTGGCTGCAACTTGCATCTGTTTGCCCCCGCTCCACCCTCTCCCACCCTCATCGCCCATCACTTTCGTACCCTCACACCCACCCATTCCCTCCACTCACCCATTCCCTCCTCACTCCCCTTTGTCATCCATTCCTTCCCTTCTCTTTTCCCCCTCTCTCCACCCCACCAGCAACAGCATAGACTACAGCTCGACCAACCAGGGCAGTGACATCATACCCACCATCGCGGCGCTGCTGGATCAGCCCATCCGGGTCTGGATCTTCTCGTACGGCCCCTGCCCCTTCCCCCTCGCCCCATGCCCCTCCACCTGCATCTCTCCTTCACCCTATTCCTACCCCGCTCGTGCTCCCGTGCCGCGTCTCCCACCGCATTCCCTATGCACTCGCCTCTCACCCACCACCTCATCACCTCTCTGCTGCCCTCCCTGCGTTGCAATGCCCCCTTCCCACATGTCTCCCCGTGCGCCTGTGCGAGGCAGGGGCGACGCTGACAGTGTAGTACCGTTCACGGGCACGCGACTGTGGATAGAGGCGCTGGGGCTGGCAGTGCTGCAGCCGCAGTACCCCTGGCTCATGCCCTCGGGCCAGGTGCGTGCCAACTGCTCTGCGCTACTGCTCCCCACCTCCCCACCGCTGGGGGTACACCACCCCACCTCCCCTTGCTGTACCTCTCGCCTGGGGCTCATGTCATATCGGCGTGCCGTGAGAGCATGCGCACACGCAACTGCACCTCGCTCTCTCCATCTGCCATGTGCTTGTCAATCCCTGATTCCGCATTCCTGCTTGCTTTTCACAGCCCATCCACCTTCACCCTGCACGCTCTTACCCCCAATGTGCGTGTGCATGGATGTGTGAGCAGGTGGGGGGGTGGGCGACGCAGTACGACAAGCTAACATGGGTGACGGTGAGGGGGGCGGGCCACCAGGTGCCGACAGGCAGGCCCGAGGAGGCGTTTGTGCTCTTCCAGTCCTTCCTCCTCGCCCAGCCCCCGCCCAGCACCGCCCAATGGTGATCTGACACCGCCCCGCCCCGCCCTGCACTGTACACTTGCAATGAGTTGCTTTGTAATGTATTTATATATATTTATTTGTTCTTACACCGGGTCAGGCCAGGCAACCAGTGTTGCACGAAACTGAGAGATGGCCCCACAGGGGCTCAAAGCATGGGGCTGCGTGCTTGCACGCACCCCAGCCTTGTCCACTGCACGCATGCTGTGGGGTCATGGTCATGACACATGGCCCACGGCCCACGGCAGCTCATGTCGAGTAATGTGGGACGGTGAACTAGTTGCCGCAGCAAAAAGAGATGGGACAAATGGCCTTCTGTTTACACACCATGCGATCATCAACCTTTGATGCCCACTCCTTGAAGGAGGGGATGGTGAAACAGCACTACAACGCATAATTGTGGTTCCAGTGATGAGTCTACAGCACCTGACGCTGCTCAGCTTGTGAGCGCCACTCACTCGTCTCACTCTCCTCCGTCACTCTCCTCCCCTCCTCCCCCTTTCCCCTCCTCACCACACCTGTCTCCCCACCCTTGCGCCTCTCTGCCCGTCGCCGCATCCTCTCAGCAGCCCTCTCCGCCTTCTCCCCACCCGGCCCGCCCACCGCCCCCCACCGCTCAAACTGCCGCTGCCTAGCCCTTGCCCGCTCCTTCTCCTCCGCACTCTTACTCCCATGGCAGTGCGGGCACGACACGCCCGCCTCCCACAGCGGGGACTGCCGGTCTGCATCGTCCACAGGCTGCTGGCAGGCGTAGCAGAGCGAGTAGGTGGAGGTGGGGAGCATGCCGTGCCCCACGGCCACGCGCTTGTCAAACACAAAGCACTCGCCCCGCCACAGGCTGTCCTCGGGTGGTACCTCTGCTAGGTACCGCAGGATGCCCCCGTCCAGGTGAAACACACGCTCCTGGGGGGGGGGAGGGGAATGGGGGGTTGGGAGAGAGAGGGTGGGGGACGTGGGAAGGGGAATGGGGCAGGTGAGGGGATGTGAGCGACATCGACCAGTTTGAATGAGGGCTTGACAGTGCGGGGAGCAGAGAGCAGGCTCCGAGTGAAGGCCGGACGGCACGCAGCGAGGCAGGGGGGTGGCGGGGGTGGGGGGGGCAGGGTGGGGCGGGGTGCACCTGGGGGAAGCCGAGGTGCAGCATGTAGGCGGTGGCCTTCTCACAGCGGATGCCCCCCGTGCAGTACATGGCCACTCGGGGGAGCGAGTCCGCCGATGAGGGGGAGGCGGGGGGAAATGCGGGGGAAGGCTCCGATGACGACGCGGAGTCAGGGGGGGTGGTGGAGGCGGAGGAGGCGGAGGATGGGGAGTGGGGCGCGGGGGAGTTGGGGGGCGAGGGTGGGAGAGGGAGGTGGTCTTGGACCCAGGCGGGGAACTGGCGGAAGGAGCGAGTGTTGGGGTCGGTGGCGCGGTGGAAGGCGCCTATGCGCGTCTCGTAGTCGTTGCGCACATCCACCACCACCTGGTGGGGGGGAGGGAGAAAAGGGCGGGAAGGGAGGGTATGGGAAGGGGGAGGAAGATGGGGGGGAAGGGGGGAGAGAGGGGGGACGAATGGGGAAGGATTGGTTGCTGTGGCGAGGACGGTGGGGTGGTGGAGAAACATCAGGTCGTGAAGATGCACGGGAAGGCAGCAAGGTGGAGTGAGCGGCGCAGTGCTGGCAACGCGGGAATAGCAGCGGGCGCGGGTGCGGCGACTGACAGTGGTGGGGTCGGAGATGAGGTCGTTCCACTGGCGCGGACTCACGTACGTGCCCACGCCCTCCGCCGGGTTCACCTCCGGCATGCCCAGCGTCACTATCTGCTCCCCACAGTACCAATGGCGGCGGAAGGGAGAGGAGGGGGAGAGAAGGGGGGAGATTGGGGAGGGAGGGGAGGAGGGGAGGGAAGAGGGGAAGGAGGTAGCGTGTGATGAGGGAGGAATGGGATTGAGCGCTGACTGTGTCGCGCAGCGGGTGTGCGCGTCACACTAGCAATATTTTTTCCCGGTGCGCCCTCTTCCTGCCCTCCCCCCTCCCCCCTCCCCCCCCTGCGCGCACCTCCTGCTTCACTTTGACGCGCACGTGGTTCCATCGGAATGGCGCGTCTCGCCCCGCCGCCAAAGGGGAACACTCCGACTGCCCGTCCACCGCTTCCGCCTCCACTCCCCCTTCCCCCCGCTCCTCCGCCTCCATCGCTTCCGCTGCGCGGTGCGCCTCCCTCTCCTCCGCGCCCGCGGGCTGCACGGTGGTGCGCAGCCCCGCCAGCCGCGCATCGGCGCGCAGCCACTCGATGACAGCTTCGGCGGCGTCGGGCGTGCCGCAGATGCTGCCGTTGATGCCTTCGCGCGCGACGATCACGCCGCCCGACACGCGGTGCTGGCGGCACACGTGATCGAGCGGGCGCTTGAGCGCGGCGCAATCGTCCAGCTGCGCGAACTTGTAGAACGAGATCACCACCAGACTGCTCCCGCCATGGCTGCTTCTGCTGCCGTTGCTATCAACGCTCGCGCCGCTGGACGTTCTGTCAAGCCTAGATAGTTCCGCGCTATCGTCAGCCTGGCGCGATTCCGCTCGTTCTGGTTGTTGTGTGATAAAGCCCACTCCCTCGGCGCCGACCTTGCCGAAACCCTCTCCCCCGTGCGCCATGGCACACGGTTGTCTTTTGTCCAATGTGCCTGCTCCACTCTGCAAAAGTGTCCGTGGAATCTGAAAATAAGAAACGCGTATCTTGCGGTCTGCTATAGTGGCAACCAAAGAGCCACTATTGGCTGCCGGGAGCCACCCCGATCCCGCTGGTTGCGGCGACAGCAGCGTGCGACGTGCGCGAGAGACGCAAAGCGCAACAGATATCCTCAGTTGAGGAGAGAGCGCGGCGGTCGGATGCACCATGTCCCCCAGATTACGCTCGCCGAGCCGCGCAAGGGATATCACAGACACTGGCGCGAAGCGAGCGTGGACGAACCGATATGATTGTTCGCAATATGCCCTGCTGCCGCGGGGCGCTGCACAATGGTGAATGCCGTCAATTATGGATCGCGAAGCTAACTGCGAAGCGAAAGCGGCAACGACAGAGGATGCCAGGACTCGAATTCGTGCGGTGACTACGGACACGACTGGAGTCCGCGTGCTCGTTATGGACGTTACCCGAGGTGCACTAAGGTAGTTAACTAAAGTCCTGGACGCGACGGACATTTATAAACGCGACGAGCACACATGGCGAAGGTCTAGTGAGGTGATACTAAACTTATCAGGGTAGCAGCGCTTTTGTTGTTGGGTTGGGGAAGAAAGGCGGTTCCATGGATTTGCAAAGAGGCGCAAGATGTCTCTGACAACACGGGGATTGGTCAGAGATTTCCAGCACAGCATGGCAGATTTGCGCGTTTGTATCAGGGTGCAGGATTTCATATAGTTGTGAAGGGGTCACTTTTGTTTGAAGTAGAAATACACGAAACTTTATTATACTTCCCGAGCCACGTTTGATCAGCCTAGACATTTTCGTGTTTCGATCGTGTGTGGTCTTTCGGGGGCTCCCTGCTGGGCCACGAACCTCACAAAACAAGCCGCACCTCGGTGTGACGCTCGGCATATGGACGCCCAGCCGCCGTTCGCGAAAGTCCATACCGTCAAAAGGTACCAGACGTGGCACGTTTCGCCAACCCATGTCAGCGGCGAAGACGGGGTCGTCTGGTTGGAGTTGCTGAAAATCTCGAACGCCCCGTCACGTCCGTCAAGCTTGAAACCAGCCCTTGGCTGCGCCTCGGGAGTTCCACGGAGCGGCAATGTTTGGGAGGAGTGCCAGTTCCACTGGCATTTGGCTAAAAAGCCCAGCGCAGTCCAGGCTTCAACCCAGTACAGCCCCAGAGTCAGCTATTACTTCAGCCGATACGCAGAGGTTGGGAGCTCTCAAGGTTCAACACTAGCTTGCATTCAGGCTACCTGAGTGGTCCCTCCTAGCATCTTCTGAGCCATGGTTTGCATGCGTTAGTAATTCCACGTTTTTTTTTCTCTCTCTCTCTCTTCTCTAGTACCTAGTTCTAGTAATAGTGAAGATGACGAACAAGTGGCTGAAGTCGCTTTTTCGCTGTAAGCCTCAGCCTGCGAAGATTAAGCCTGAGGTGAGTAGTCCTAATAGGTTGGAAGATCGTCGTATTTTGCGGTTTCCTGAGTGTCCTTTCGAGTTACAATGTCCTGCATTGTCGTCTTATTAATACTGACACTGTCTCTGACCGGCTACCACAGGAACTTCTCGAGGATGATCTGTACTCTGAAAGCGCATACTCGAAGGACGAAAGTGTGAAAGCAACGAAAAGCTTCAAGTCTCCCGCAACATCTGCTATTTCTGCTCATGAATCATCACCGGTCCAGTCTTCGCGAACAGTTCCGTCCTTCTATATCAATGCAGATGGATCAAAGGCTCGGGTTCCTGCTTCACCATCTGCTTCTCGTTCTGCGGCCAGGTCGCCGTCACCTTGCAGTCGCTCCGTCAATCCAGCATCCCCCTCCACCAAGGAGCCTGGACATGGTTCCGCCTCCCGCTTCACAGCACCTCAGTCACCCTCTACTTCTTGCACCTCTGTTACTATGCCTCCCCCAGCAATTTCCCAAGCCTCAGCCTCTCATGGCCGCTCATATCGCTCAAAGTCCGCTGCTAGATCCGCTGCTGAAGCGACATCGTGCTCCTCGGGCGTGTCAATCAAATCTTCTCCCAAGCGGGAGTCGAGCACCGCAACATCTTCATGGTCTGGCCGGCGCATGTACAGCGCTGCGAAGAAGCAATCAATAGCACCTGCTATGTCAGCTGAGTCTGCAGCAGCCATCAGGATTCAGACTATGTATCGTGGTTATCTGGTAAGCTTGATAAGCTATTCTGACGCGCAGTGCACATCTCACATCTAACAATAATTTTCTAAAATTCTTGTGCTGAATGGATGTCGCGTCAGGCTCGTAAGGCTCTTCGTGCATTGAAGGGGCTGGTTCGCCTTCAGGCTTTGGTGAGAGGCCATATTGCAAGGAAGCAGGCAAAGGCCACTCTTCGCTGCATGCACGCGATCGTTCGCGTCCAGGCTCGATTCCGTGCCCGTCGGGTCCGCATGTCCAGGTTCGTGATCCCACATTCGATTGAAGCTTAACGCCTTTCAGGCGTCCCAGTGTTTTCTGACACATTCCTTTTCTTGCTGCAGGGAGGGGCAACTTGTTCAGCGGCAGCTGGAGAAGATTTCCCGCAAGTACCACCCTGAAGTGGTCCTCAAACGCAACGAGGTATGACTTTGTTCACCGAATTCAAGCGTCACGTCATCCAGGAAACTTTCTTGCTTTCTGGCGGTATTTGACACCGACTCTTTTTGGTTTCAGGTTGGCTGGTGCGATGCTTCTGGCACGGTAGAGGAGATTCAAGCAAAGCTTCAGAGCAAGCAGGAGGCCATCCTTCGTAGAGAGCGTGCTTTAGCATATGCTGATTCTCGCTCGGTAAGTTTTACACGCGTTTATCAGTTCTTTCATGCTTCTTGTCTTCCGGAAGTGATTCATGTTTCTTGTTGAATGCAGCTCTGGAAGAAGGAGAAGCCTACACAGCAACGCTCCATGGCATACATCGACTGCGAGCCCGACAAGGGAGGTTGGGGGTGGAGCTGGCTGGAGCGCTGGATGGTCGCGAGGCCGTGGGAGAACCGTCTCATGATGGCGCACTATCAGGCTGTTAACCCCAAAGCCAAGCGCCAGGGCGCACTCCGTCTGTTTGAGGCTCAGGCAGTGGAGTCGAAGCCCCACCGCACTGTGGAGCTGGTGGACATGGGCAAGTGCAAGAGCTGCGGCCGCCGTGTCCTTGTCAAGCCCTCTGTGGCACAGGCAGCCAACGCCGCAGCTGCTGCGCAGGCGTCCGCTAATGGAACTGCGCCCTCGAAGGCCATCCCGCACACCTGCAACATCTGTGCTCCCACGGTTTCCTGGGCTGCTAAGGTCGGAGCTCTTCCACCGCGTGACCCTCCCCCCGTCGTGATCACGACCACGGGCACCAACCGTGGGGCAGCAGGTGCGATGTCACGGCTGTCCCTTGGCGCTTCGCATGAGCCTCAACCCCTTGCAGACGCTGTGATCGGGTCCAGATCTCTGAGCCGATCCGCCAACCGTTCAGCTTCCAACACAGGGCCCCATGCACCTCTCTCGCCATCAGCATCGTTCAAACGTGCCAGTGCATCGCCACGTGTTGTTCCTCACTTTATGGAGACCACTGAGTCCACGCGCGCTAGGGCGAGAGCTAACAGTACACCTCGAGGGCGCCAATCTGATGGTTTTGGAAGCAAGCGAGTCCCGCCACCGCAAGAGGCAGGGGGTGTCCTTGCTCCCGTAGTGCTTGGGCTCCAAGCTGAGACATCAGCAGACCACGAGGAACAGCTATCAGACGCACAACAGTGAGACTCTACACGTTGCTTGGACGCACAGATTTCACACATTATTGCAGCTAGCATAGTTTCCTTCCACTACTGACTTCATAGCAGGGCTGATTTGCTTTATGTGGTTTCCTACAGCTTGTATTCCCTTAGCTATGTTTCTCACAGGCCAGGTACTTTTGTGTCTAGCTGTAATAAGGGTCCCAAAGTGCCCAGTTTGGCAGGTTCTGGGGATAGGCATATAAGCAAAATAGGACTTTAACAAGAAAACTATATACTGTTTCTCTGGATATATGTCAAACACTCAGCCTTATACGCAGCCTACAAATTCGTGCCATGTCACACATTCTTATAAACCACAACACAAAAGTAACTCAAATACAGCGTGTAAGTGATTACAATCTCGAAAAGGAAGGCGGTATGTGTCAAATACAGAGTAAGCTGTAATTTGGATTCTGCAAGGTTATTACCATAGTTGCTTAGCCGCTTGATGTTTATTGTTCAATGCTTTGAAGAAGATTTACAATTTGTTATAATGCAGAACCACATCAGAGTCACGGCAGCGTGGGCAGGGGGTGTATCCACGCCAGCAGCTTTCGCCACCAGCATAAATATTGTTTTCAGCCCTGGTGCAGTTGTCAGCTGACGGAGCGTTCTGTTGGCTGGTCAGCCACCGCACCAACTCCCGCGATGCCAGTTTGTTTGTCAGTCTGACGAATAACAGTCCTTGCTGCGGCTCGGTTCGGCGTAGATCACTCGCACAGCCGACAAATTAGTCGTCACTGTCGCATGAAGCGCGTGAACCTTCTTCAGGGGTTCGCCGAACTTGCCTTGCCCATCGTCAACGACCGAAATGCGATGGCATTACGAGGCCCAGCTGTCGCCCAAGCCGTGTCACAGACGGTTGTCGTCCACACCGTCGTTTAGCCGTTTGTCGCAATGCAAATCCTCCGTCAATCAGCAGCGCGTTCACGGCAGCACAGAGCCAGAGAGCTCGTCTGGGCGCAAACCTGGTGAGCTGCGCTCCGCGCCACCGCGCGTTGCTCCCTTGGCGCTGCCTCCCTCCCATCCCATCCCGCCCGCCACGTTGAATCGCAACAATACCATCCCATCCCCTTCGGCCTCCATCTGCCTCCACCTCCGCGCCACCCGCTCCACCCCTGCCGCCAGCCACACCACTCCCCGCTCCTCGCGGCTCCTACAAATTCAGCAGCAGCGAACTCAGTCAGGCGTTCCGAATTCAAGCAACACCTTCATTACTTACTGCTTATCTCCACAGCAATAGCCATAGCGTTCAGCACAGAATAATCCACTATTCCTTAGTCACTTCGCTATAGAGTAACGTCTTACGCCGCGCGATTTATCGACCTGGCTAGTGTCTCTTACGAATCCATTTCGACCGGTCGGAGTTCTGCCGTCCTTTCCTTGAGATACGCATTTTTCTGGCCGTCAGGAGCCATTGCGACAATGGTTTCGTCGCGAATTCCGCTGTCATTGTTGATCGCCGTCGTCGCGCTACTGAGCATGCCTCTCGTCAGTCGCGGTATAAGCAAGGCAGACATGCTGCAGGAGCTGGTGGTCTACAGCGAGGACGACGCCTTCACATTCACGGAGCTCGCAGCGCAGCAGGCGGCCAACGACGAGGAGATTAAAGCCGCCGCCATCGCGAACGCGTTTCACCATCTGCACGGTTCGGAGGACTTCAGCGGCGCGGAGGACGACGATTACGTTTCCGTTTCCGCGACGCGCGAGTCGGAATCCAAGACAATGGAAGTCACTGCAGCGCCAACCATTCTGGACGCCGTGTCGCAAACCTTGTCGAAGCGGTTGAGAGGATTTTTCGGCTGATCGCGCGAGCATCGCGCGTCTGAAGGAAAAATGGCGAGTGATTAACGACACGAGGCAGTATCGCTCATACTGCCTGATAGCGAGCGGGACAAGAAGTCAATATCGTCTGACTGAGCTGGCAGCGGCCAGTGCTCGCCATACTTAATGTACCATAGTCCTAGTATAATAGGTCATCGCGCACATGCCGCCAAAGGCGTGCGTGCAACCATACGACTTGTGCGGCAATTCGCACAATACACATACTGGTGCCCTGCTTGTGACGATGCAATGTGACTGTTATCATTATTACAAGCACTATGCTAACGACGACCTTGCATACGTTGCTGCTCTCCTCTTACGCCTACCTACTACACCAAGCACTTTAGCCAATCTCTGCCAATTGTGGTGCATTTCAGCAGCTAAAAGCGCAGTCATGTGCGTGGCTTTTGGTGGCAGTTACATTGGAAGAAAGGTGGATAGCTTCTAGACGCTTATAACAAAGTTACAGCATGCACAACGCCAGCAAGGTTGCTGTGACACCCTAAGGTGATCTCAAGGCACGGAAGCAGAGGAGGCGGAAGAGGGAGGCATCTCTGCTTTCACCAGGGAACGCCGTCCCCACCGCTGCCTGCATCGCCCGCTCCACACTCCCTCCGACACGCTCTGCCACCTCTCCTTCCGCCAACTCTAGCCCCGCCGCTGCTGCTGCTGCCAGCACATCAGGCTCGGACACCTGGCGCGTGATGTGGCACAGCAGAAGCACCGGCACACGCCCACTGCCGTCCCAGCGAGCCAGGAGGCGGGCGGCGGACTGGAAGAGCAGTGGCACGGCGGCACGCACGTACACCACATCGGCTCCCAGGATTACATCAAACCCCCTCCCCTGCTGCACTCCAGTACAAGCAGCCTCGGTACTGTCTCCTGTCATGCCACAGCCATCCACAGGGGGAGTGTGAGCGGTGCTCCCTTGTGTATTGGTTGTGCTGCACCCTCCCTCCTCAGGCACTCGGCCCTGTTCCGCCCCAACGACGTCACCAGAGGGCAACAATTGCCTCACTGCTGCCTCGTCGCCCTCATTGCCCCACCGCAGTCGGCACACCTTGATGCTACCCGTGTCAAAGCTCCCCGCATTCAGCTCCAGATTCTCCGGCAGCAGGCTCAGAGCACTCTCGTCCCCATCTGTCGCCACGATGACACGTGGCGCGCTGTGAGTGGCTGCAAGCGAGCAGAGTGCAGCGCCGCCCGCACCGAGCTCGAGAACGGAGGAGTGGCGGGTGAGGGCGGGGTGGGCGAGCAGCAGCGCTGCCAGCACCTGCGACGACTCCCACAGCAGGCGCCCCGTGCTGCCGTGCGTGTGCTGGTGCTCGCGGGATAGCAGGCGCACACGCAGTGGCAGGTGCGCGAGGGAGAGGGCGTGGTCCTGGGGATGTGGGTAGACAGGTGGGGCGGTTGTTGGGGTGGATGAGGATCAGAGGCGGGTACTATGAGGGGAAGAGGAAGGAAGGGATGGGGTGGGGAAGAAGAGCGCGCAGCAGGGGATGAGGGAAGGGAGAGAGGCGAGGGAGGGAGAAGCACCTGTAAAGGCGGGTCGGAGAGGAAGAGGGTGGTGCAGTCCACGTCACATGCGCTCCCACTGCCGCCCATGCCGCCCTCCCCTGTGCCTGCTCCTTCCCTGCCATTGCCGTCCCCTCGCACACCACTGCTCCCACTTCCTCGCCTCTCCTCCTCCCCGCCTTCCCTGTCACTCGTCCCCCTTGCCTCAACATCCTCCGCAGCAGTGGCAGCCGCATCACAAGGAGCAGCAGGAGCGGCAGTGGCAGCGAGCGGAAGGCGGAAGACTGCTTGGATCCACCGCCTGGTCATGCCACGAGACAGCAGGAGGATGCAGGAGGGAGAATGGGGGTTGAGCAGGAGACAGTTGCAATGGGTGTACGGGCAATAGGGATGTTCCACAGAGCACTCGAGTGGTGGGTAGTTGTGTGAAGACAATGAAGCGCCTCTGCACGTGAGCAGCACCTGTGCATGTCGATTTGTCGTGCGCGGTTGGTGACGGTGCGCTCACACACGCCCATGTGCACGCACTGCATGCCCGCCCCCTCAAACAGCTCTCCCAGCGCCGCCTCCGTGAAATAGTAGGCGCGCTGTTGGGACCACAGTGGGGACATGTCGGGAGGTTGAACATGGGCGCAGGGGGACATGGGGCGCGGGGGGACATGGGGCGCAGGGGGACATGGGGCGCAGGGGGAGAAGGGGGAAGAGAGGAATGGATAGATGACAGTGCCCACATTATCAGCCCCACCTCCAATCACCGTGCCTTCACCCCCCCTTGCCCCCACACACACACCCACCGTGCCATCGCCGCGCACATAGAAGTTGTCGGCGATGCGCTGCTCCTTGCGCCTCAACCGCTCCTGTGCACATGGCAGGGCGGTGGGGAGGCAAGACGGAAGGGGATAGAGTGTTGCAGAGAATGGTAGCACTGCAGCAGGACGCAGTGCCAACAACCATGGGGTTGCTGACCTGTACCCTTGCATGGCACCTTAGCAACACAGCTGAGAAACGCACCTGAAAACACACCTGAGAAACACACCTGAAGCACACCTGAGAACACACCTGAGAAACAGATTTGAGCCATTCACCCACCTGAGCCAGGTCGCCAGCAGCATAGTCTCGAACCAACACATGCCCTCCTGGCTGCATGCCATGCCATGCCATGCCACGCCATGCCATGCCATGCCATGCCATGGGGTGCGGAAAGATGGAGCAAGGGGCGGGTGTGAGGGGGTGAGTGTGGAGAGAAGGTGCAGCAGAAGGCAGATGAGAGGGCGCGTGGCAATGACTAGGAATCTTGTGAGGGGCAAGGGATGACAGCACGGGCAGCGAAAGATGGCGTGCGTGCAGGCACGCAAGGGGGAAGGGGCGAGAGGTGCGTGCAGGCACGCAAGGGGGAAGGGGCGAGAGGTGCGTGCAGGCACGCAAGGGGGAAGGGGCGAGAGGTGCGTGCAGGCGCGCAAGGGGGAAGGGGCGAGAGGTGCGTGCAGGCGCGCAAGGGGGAAGGGGCGAGAGGTGCGTGCAGGCGCGCAAGGGGGAAGGGGCGAGAGGTGCGTGCAGGCGCGCAAGGGGGAAGGGGCGAGAGGTGCGTGCAGGCGCGCAAGGGGGAAGGGGCGAGAGGTGCGTGCAGGCACGCCAGGGGGAAGGGGCGAGAGGTGCGTGCAGGCACGCCAGGGGGAAGGGGCGAGAGGTGCGTGCAGGCACGCCAGGGGGAAGGGGCGAGAGCACTCACCTTGAGCACGGTGGCAACGTTGGCGATGGCGAGCGGCATCTTCTCAGGTGAAATGGCAGATAGCACAAACACCTGCGCATGGGGTGGGTGAGTGGAGCGCGGTGGTGAAAAGAGATTGCGGTGAAGTGATGGAAGGTGGTGCGATGTGATGCCATGCCATGTTATGATGGAAGGATTTTTGCACGGCATTAAGTTGCCAGCCACCCACCATGGTAACCACATGCCACCCACCATGGTAACCACATGCCACTCACCATGGTAACCACATGCCACTCACCATGGTAACCACATGCCACCCACCATGGTAACCACATGCCACCCACCATGGTAACCACATGCCACTCACCATGGTACCACATGCCACCCACCATGGTAACCACATGCCACCCACCATGGTAACCACATGCCACCCACCATGGTAACCACATGCCACCCACCATGGTAACCACATCCGCTTGAGATGGAGGGCACACGGCAGGGCACTGCGGCAGGCAGCTCGTGCATCCCCCACCATCGCCGCTGCTGCTGTCGTTGCCGATGCTGCTGCTACTGCTGGAGGCGGTGGCGATGGCAGAGGCGAGCGGGTCAGCTGTGATATCAGCCACGAATGCCCTCAGCCTGTGCACGTCGTAGTGCTCACTGCCCTGCCCGCCAGCATGGCAGCACACAGGCAGATGAGAAGAGACACACATACATACACGTGCGCACACGAACACACACATGCAGAGGGAGAGCGAGGAGCGACACAAAGATGCTGATGGTGAGGGTGCTGCCATCAGTGCACACAGCATGGAAGCACGCAAAGCAAAGCAACACGCGAGCACCACACGCACACACATCCCCCTTCCCACCATCCGCTGCACCCCTCCCCCCACCATGTACACCCATCTCCACCCCCCACGCACGGTGACGAGTGCAACAGCGCGCGGGGAGAAGTCGCAGGCGAGGGCGAAGAGGTGCGGATCGTCCGCTAGCAGCGGGAACACCGTGTTGCCCGCTCCACACCCCACCTGGCCTCCCAGGGGGCGCAGGGGGGATGGCGGAGGACAGGGGGAACAGGGGAACGTAGGGGAGAGGATTGGGCAAAAACAGGGGGAATGGGGGAAGCACAGGGGTATGAGGGGGCATTGGGTGAGGGGTAGGGGGTGCATTGGCGGTGAGGGGAGAGGAGTGGTGCAGGAAGGTGGAAGGGCAGCAAGATACAGGAGAATGGGGGGAGGCTGAAGCACAATGCACCCAGCACACCCCCCTCCCCACTCCCCACTCCCCCCTCCCCCTCCCACACACACACCACTCGCCTCACCTCCAGCACCACTCGTCCAATGGCAACGCACCGCTCGCACACACACCCTCCCCTGCCGTTGCCACTCCCACCACCGCCCCCTGCGCTTCCCACTCCCGCGCCTGCATCCACGCCCCTAGCCTCCCCTCCCCCTCCCTCTGCACCCCCCGCGTTTCCCCCCTCCGTCCCTGCCTCCGCCTCTGCCCCTGCGCCCCCATCCCCCCGAAGGTAGAGCGCCCACTCGTGGTGCAGGTAGTGGCGGTCCTTGAAGAACTGGCGCGCGCACGGAGCAAGGGGGGGGGGGGGGGGGGGGGTTGACGGGGTCCGGGGGAGGAAAGGGCGGGATGAGCCCGGGAGGGAGGGGGAAAGTGGATGAAACGGAGTGAGCAACGCAGAATAGGGAGCGAGGAGGGCTTTGGCAGTGGCGGGGGGGAGGATGCCGTGCGGGCGTGAAGCAAGGGGAGCGCAGTGGTGGGGCAGGGGGTGTGGGTATGTGCTATCCGTCGCGCGCTCACCCGCTCTCCGTTGCGCTTGTAGAAGAGGTCCCAGTAGCGCCTCGCCTCCCTCTCGTACTTGCCTGCCTTGCGCACACCATGGCGCACACATGAACGCATTCGCACATGCACCCATGCATGCACGCACAGAGGCAGAGTGGAGAGGTGAGAGGCAAGGGACGAGGAGCGGCTGCTCCACAGGTTGGGTGGGGCAACGACGGACCATCCCGCAACTCCGCATCTCCCGCGCTACAACTGCGCCCCCTCACCATCCCCGCCCCCGCTCACTACTTCCCCTCCTTCGCCCCCCAGCCTCGCCCACTAATTTGGCCCCACTACCACCACCCCCCTTCCCCTTTACTGCCCCCGCCCCCCAAACCAGCTCGCATGCGATGAATGTCAAGCGCGTTCCGCGCCGGAAATTGCGCTTGTTCGTCTACCGGAACCCTGGTCTACCTCGAAACCCAAAGCCCGAACCTGGAACCCTGACATTGACATGGATCCAGCTGGCATGCATGAGCAAACCAGACCAGCCACGTCAGCACACCTCGCATAAAATCCGAGACGCAGTCGGTGTGCTGGGGGTAGATCTGCACACGTGGTGCGGCATCATTGGTTGTGGATCCCATGGTCAACAGCGCGAGGAATCGTGATGATGGGCCTTATTTTATTCGCATACTTTCATTCTTTGCGTTGTAAGCATCCGAATAAACAAAACATATTTTGTAACATACATCTACCCCTCCATATCACATTTCACATCTGATGGTCGGTGCGCCGCATCTGCTTCCGTTTCTTCTCCTCACCCTTTCACATGACCTGGAGGGCTGAGCCGTTCCGCATGCGTACGGTTTGTAGGTGGTGTGACTAGATTGGGCAGAAGCTTTGAGGTGTCCTAGTCAGACACCACCTGCCAATAGCAGGTGCGCAATGCTACGCGTTCGCTCGTGGAATTCTGGCCGAAGCACCGCGAATGAAGCATGTAGCTCTTCTTGTCGCTTTATGCTGGGCGGGGTGGAATGGAAGGAACGTGTGCGAGCAGGGTTGGTGGTGGTGGGTGCAAGCAGAGCCGTTTTGGTTCAGGTCATTGGTCGTGCTCGCTTGGTGGTGAAGTGGCGAGCTACAATCAGCGCGTTTCGTTTCATCTCTTCGTACGTTGGCACCATAACAGCAGCCAAACAGCATCCTCCCCCCTCCACTCCCTCCCCTCCCTGCGTTGACCGCAGAACTGCCTCTGCTCTGCTCTCTTCCCTTGCCACAGGGAGGCTGTCATAACGGCCGCCGAATAATCACGTGCCCCGCGGGCCTGGCATGGGGAACAGGGCAAGAGCAGTGCGCAACAGCCCCGCGCCAATGATAGCCTGCTGCGCGTCGCTCGCAGCCGCAGGGCCCGTCGCCGCTGAGAGCAACGACCGGCACGTGCCATGGCGGTCAGCGGAGCATACAGATCTCGGTTTGTCGTTAAAGATTCGGTTTTCGTCGTGCGCACGTCGCTGCTCCTCGCGGACTGACGCGGGGCAGGCAGGAACGAGCTCGTGCACGTGGCGGGGGGAGAGCGCAGGCCGCGTAGGGCGATAATCGCTGTAGCGCGCACGGCGCAGTGCGTGGGAGTAGCGCCTGCTGGGAAGGCTGCCAGCATCCCTCAATGGCGCCGGCGCGACCTGCGCTTGCTGCTGCTGCTGCCATTCGCATGTCGGTCGGTGCGGAATATATCTGCTCGTCCCCCCGCGACTGCTCTCGCACGAGCCACCTTGGGAATACGCAGTCAACCTTCCTCCTTGCATGCACCCTTTCCTCTCACAGCCACAACGCAGCAGTAACCATGGCGACGCAGTGCGCAGCAGCAGTCAGAACACAGCCCTGGGAGCAATGCGGCACCGCCGTCAGGGCGGCAGAAATCACGGACGTTGCAATGCCGGGCGCCATAGACCATTCTCCGCAAACCGCGCTCAGACCGTCGACAGACACTCCGACTGACGCGCTTCTCGCTTGCGATCGCTTGCTGCCGTTCGCGACGGCGCCGCTGGAGGCGGAATACGCGGTGGCGCGCGAGGAGATGGGGCGCGGGGAATTCGGCGTGGTGCGCGCGTGCATGGCGCGCAGCAGCGGGCAGCTGTTGGCGTGCAAGTCGGTGGAGAAGGCGCGGCTGTGCGGGGAGCGGCGCGGCGATCTCGAGATGGAGCTGCTCTGCATGGCGGCGCTGCCGCCGCACCCGCACGTGGTGCGCCTCGCGAGCGTGCACGAGGACGCGCGCCGCGTGCACCTCGTAATGGACCTCTGCGACGGCGGCGACCTCTTCGACCTCGTCGCGCGCGCCGGCCGCCTGCCCGAGCGGTGCGCGGCGGTGGTGGTGGCGCAGGCGGCGAGCGCGGTGGCGTGGTGCCACACGCACGGCGTGCTGCACCTCGACGTCAAGCCCGAAAACCTCCTCCTCGCGGGTCTCTCCGCCGCGCCGCTCCTCGCGGACGCGCGCAGCGCGGAGGCGGCGCTGGCGCACGTGAGCGTGAAGCTGGCGGATTTCGGGCAGGCCGTGGCGGTGGGCGCGGGGGGCAGGGCGCGCGGGCTGGCGGGGTCGTCACTGTACATGGCGCCCGAGGTGGTGTGTGGGCGCGAGTACGACAGTGCGGCGGACATGTGGAGTGTGGGCGTGGTGTTGTACGTGATGCTGGCGGGGTACGTGCCCTTCTACGGCCCCGACCTGCCCCACGTGTTCCTCGCCATCTGCCGCGGCCACCCCGACCTCACAGGCGAAACATGGGAGGGCGTCTCCTGTGAGGCGAAGCAGCTGGTGCGCGCGCTGCTGTCTGTGGACCCTGCTGCACGCCCCTCCGCGTGCGACCTGCTCTCCCACCCCTGGCTCACCGCCCACGTGCGTGGAGCCGCGGCAGCAGCAAAGGCGGCGAGGGAGGCGGCAAGGGCGGCTGTGGGGGACGTGCTGGCACCCCTGGCATGTGCCTCTTCCACCTCTGCTTCCACGGCCGCCATCCCTGCCTGCCCCTCCCTCCATGCTGCATCGTCCTCAGCTTCTCTTCAGTCTACGGCTCACTTGGTTCCTTCTGCAATGCAAGAAGCATCGGAGTCATGCTCCATGGATAGTGATTCACTGACAGCAGTGGCAGGCTGCATGGCGCCTCACCTGATGGACAGTGCAGGGAGCAGCGGTGCAACAAGGAGGCCGAGGAGACGGCTGTATCGGTCTAGAGTAAAGCAGGCCCTCACAACTAACTGCTGATATGCACACAACTGACTTATGACCATTACATGTACAGGGAATTTTGTCAATAATAAAGAATCGTAGGCATGTGACTTGTTGTAAGCAAGCATTTGTTCTCAGTTACCTTTTTGTTTTGAGAAATTACACCAAAACTCCAGTCATAGGTATAAGGTCTTCGATTTATAAAAGGTATTCAGCTCAATGGGCTTCAAAGGAGCAAGCAAGTTCGGTGGGTTGGAATTCGTGCATTTCGCACACGTGGTAGGCCAACATTTGCGAATGCCTTCGAGGCGCCAGCGTGCGAGCCGCCAGTCAGCAAGGCAGTTCACGCCTTCTTCCACAAATTCGTCCTACAAAATTCCTCAGTTGCGTGCACTAGCGGTGTATCTTTTGTTTCGTTCCGAGCCAAGTTCGCTCCTCAGCCTGCTGGACGAGCATTCTCGATCCCGATCTCAGTGCGTCTGCTCCGCGAGTCAGTGACGCACGCGCCTGTCAATTCAATCTCGAGCCCGCTCAACATCCGTGGACATGGCTTCGCGTCAAGAATCCAAGCCCAAGGTAGGCGTGCAGGAAGAATCGCAGCAGCAATCTCTGTTCAGTCCAACCCCTGGCATGGCACATCCCGTCCGTCACGCCTCTCTGTCCACTTCCCCTCCACCCATCAGGTGCAGGTGGAGGCGCCGACGGGGCACTACGAGTGCATCAAGCCGGAGGAACAGGCGGCACGCGAGGGGCAGCAGAGGCAGGCGGGACGTGAGGAAGGCATGCGCGAGGCCACCCACAAGTGAGTCTCGCATCTCTTCTGGCCTGGTCCTGTGCGACCTCCTCCATTCGTTCTCAAGCACCCCCACTCGTAGTACCCTGTAAATGCCATGCCTTGCTAGGTGGTATTTTCAAGCCAGTTTTGCAACATTGCACTAGGCCGTTGCAGACATGTGCAAGTCAAGTGCGCAAAGCTATTTGGGATGCACAATTATGGGTTCGCTGACATCTCCCATATGTGTGCATGCCATGGCGAGCAGGTTGCAGGCATCACATGGTGCCGGAGGTAAGCCCCACCGGCACGAGGCAGCATCTGAGGCCTCAATGACTGCTCAACAGCATGCGGCCCAGCAGCAGGGGGCAGAGGCGGCACACGAGGCACGGTCAGGGCTGACAGGCATGCTGGCGGGCATCCGTGAAAAGATGGGACACGCTGGGGAGGCGCTGCTGGGAGGGACGCACACGGGCACAGAGGAGTCAGCGCAGGCCCCAAAGGTGGGCGTGTCCCACACTCGTGGCTCTGCAGGGGTGGCGGGTGGGCGGGGCTACGAGCAGGGCAAGCAGGCACCAGACAGCGCCTCCGCTGCTGCTGCCAGGGGGGCTGGCACGGTGGCTGGTGTGGCGAGGGGTGCTGGGGAGGAGGCAGGGCGAGCAGCAAAGGAGGGCACTGGGGCAGCAGCACGCGGGGCGGGGACGGTGGCAGGGACTGTGCAAGGGTTGGCAGAGGAGGGGGGGGCTGCGGGGAAGAGGGGCGTGGAGGGGGCAGTGAGGGGGGCGGGGACGGCTGCAGGAGTGGTGCAGGGCGCAGCAGAGGAGGCAGGGCACGTGGCGAGGGAGGGCAGCAAGGCTGCTGCACGCGGGGCAGGGAGTGTGGCTGGTGTGGCGAGGGGTGTGGGTGAAGAGGCAGGCAAGGCGGCTAGGGAGGGCAGTCAGGCGGCAGCCAGGGGGGCGGGAACAGTGGCAGGGACAGTGCAGGCATTGGGGGAGGAGGGCAAGGAGGTGGGCAAGCAGGCAGTGGGGAGCGCAGCGAGGGGGGCAGGCACAGTGGCGGGCACGGTGCAGGCGCTTGGGGAGGAGGGCAGGGAGGTGGGGAAGCAGGCCATAGGCAGTGCTGCAAGGGGTGTGGGGGCAGTGGGGGGAACAGCGCAGGCAGTGGGGGAGATGGCGAGCGAGGCAGCGAGTGAGGGGGTGAAGATGGGCGCACGGGGGGCTGGGGGGGTGTATGGGACGGTGCAGGGCGCTGCTGATGTGGGCAGCCACGTGGCAAGCGATGTGGGGCAGCAGGTGAAGGTATGTGCTGCATGCTGTGTGCTTCCTCTGCACTGCTTCTGCTTCCCTTGCCTCCGTTCCTGCCTCTCCACTCTCCTTCTGCATGCACCACTCCGCGTGCCTCATATGCTCCATAGCCTCCTTCCCTTCACTCTCATCGTTTCACTTGCCCTCCTCTGCCCTCCCCACTGCTCCCATGGTGTGGCAGCAAGGCGCACAGGTGGCAGCGGAGGGAGCAGCGAGGGGGTTGGGCACGGCAGCAGGGGTGGTGGAGGGTGCGGGGGAGGTAGCAGGGCGTGCGGCACTGGAGGGAAGGCGGGAGGTGGGGGACGCAGTGGGGGCAGCGGGCGTGGGCACAGCACAGGCAGCCAAGGGAGTGGTGGGGGGAGCAGCACACGCGGTGGGGACAGCAGCATCAGCGGTGGGGGGAGGGGCATACGACACGGTGGAGGGCGTGGGGCAGGCCATAGGCGGGCTGGGGCTGACCGTGGCAGGGGGTGTGCAGAGCGTGCTGGGGGGGGTGGCGGGCGCGGTGGGGGGCGGAGTGCAGTCGCTCGTGGACTCCGTCAGGGGCGCCCCCCACGCCGTGGGAGAGGCGGTGCAGGGGCATGCGCAGCAGGTGCAGGCAGAGGGGGGAACAGGAATTGAGGGGAAGGGGGCGGAGGATGTGATATCACGGCGGGTGGACGTGGTGGAGGGCATGCGCATAGGTGGGGAGGATATTGCGGGCATCGCTGGTGCTGCAGGTGTGCCGGCAGGGGACAGTGAGGGGGTGGAGGGGCCGCGTGTGATAGTGGTGACCGAGGACAAGGTGGTGCGTGAGTAGAGACTCACTTATAATGGCGAGGGCTTGCTTGAGACAGTAGTTGCGCTTGTACAGCCATTCCGCTTACCTGTATATGCTGATTCAAAACTGTGTGTACTTGTTGTATATACTATCATTGCTAATACATCTCGCTCTGATGTAAATTCCACAACCCTTCACTGGAACTTGGGATGACTCACCTTAGGCACTATGAGCTGAAACTGGGAGACAGCAGCAAGCTGTCCCTTGTGGCTACCTCACCATGCACTCCCAGGCTGCTAAAGCAGTTAGCGCAACAGCAGGTAGTAGTGATCCAGCCACCACAGCAGGGCAGAAGTTCCGCTCCGCTACAGCAGCTCGCAGAACAAGTGGGTATGCCACAGCCTAGAGCAGATCAAAGAAGTAGTCCATGCCCTGCCCGATCTCCCACACCGACAGCCCCGCGCCCCACGCACTGGCCTCGCGCATGCGCAGGGCGAGCGAGAGCAGCGAGGGGAAGAAGGCGGCGCGACGGATGCCCGAGGGGCGTGCGGTGAAGGAGACAGCGTGCTCGCGCGCGTCTGGGTCCCACGTTACTTTCGGCTGGTAGCGCTGCAGCACCTCCACCACGTCCCTGCCCAGCAGCGGGCGGTAGTCTGGTGGGGACGGTGAGGGGGGAGAGGGGGGGGGGGGGGGGGGAATGGTATGGTGGGAAGCGTGCTCGTATGCATGGAGACCCCCGTGCTCGTATGCATGGGGGGGGAGGATGGTATGGTGGGAGGCCGTGGCGGACTGACCCTCATTAGGCCCGTACTCATAGCCATAGAAGTTGAGTCCCACCAACACCTTCCTTGCCATCTCCCTCACATCTCCTCCTCCCACCCCGCCCTCCTCTGCCTCCCCTTCTTCTTCCTCCTTCTCCTCCTCATCCCCCACAAAGCTCCTCAGCTCGCGGCCTCGCCGTAGCTCCTCCTGCCACTCCGCGTCGCCCACCCCCATGCCCTCGCCATACGCGCCGGCATACCGCGGCGTGACCCCCGGCAGCAGCGCTTGCAGGCACAGCCGCACCCACGGCAGGGGGGCGGTGGGGCCGGGGTGCGAGGGGGGGGAGAAGTCGTACGTCATGAGGGAGAACCCGTCCACGTGCGCGTGCAGCGCTGCTAGATCCCCCGCTGTGAATGCGTGCGCAGGGAGGGTGCGCTGCTGCTCGGGGGGAAGGGCGGCGGCGGCGTTGGGGGGAATGACGAGGAAGAAGGAGAGGTGCGTGGTGGGCGAGGCGGGGTTGGGCGTGGCGTGTAGGGCGGTGCCGAGGCGGGAGAGGAAGGCGAGGGCGCGCGTGCGCAGGGGGGGCGAGGCGAGCAGCCCCGTGGCCGTCCATGTGGACCACGCCTCCAACACCACCCCGTCCAGATGGTGCTGCCTGCGGGGCATGTGGGGGCGGGGCGATAAGGGGGGACGATGAGGGGTGATAACCCGTGACACGAGAATGCACGAAGTGGGAGGGAGGAGGAATGAGGGAGGAGCAGAGGGGAAGGGAAGTGCGTTGATAGGGAGAGATGGCAGGAGTGGAGAATGAGGGAGCATGAGTGCGTGCAAAGCAGGGCCAGCACCCACCTGCAGGTGTCAAGTATGAGACGGATGGCCTCCGATGCGTCCTCATCAGAGCTGACGATGACTGACGTGTCATGTGCCTCCAGCAGCACACGTGGCACCACCTGAGCGCCATCCTGGCGCACGGAGTCCATCCACGGCACGTCCACGTCATGCCCGCCCGCCACCCGCAGCTTGCCACCCTCTCTGTGCCGCCCGCAGTTGGCACATGGGGGTTGGGGCGAGAGAGAGTGGGAGGATGAGAGGATGGGACGTGATAGAAGGGTGGGCCGAGGGGCACGGGAGGATTAAGAGCCTTGTAGGTCGCGAGCAACGTGGCGTCTTTTGGCATAACAGCATGGCATGATGATGCGGAAGGGTAGGCCTGGCATGGCATGGAATGGCTTGGCAGTGCGGCAGGGTGCGGTGCTGACCGTTTGAGTTGGAACCAGACGGGCGAGATGTGCGTGAACTTGCGGCGGAACTGCCGTGCCCTGTCGTAGCCTGCGCCGTTCCTGATGGGGGCTCATGTCATGCACGCACAGAGCACAGCGAGAGCGGATGGCACGACGGCAGTGTATGGCATTGAACCGCATTACGCGACGCTCCATGGGACAGCAGTTATTGGAAGCGGGGGGTATTGCGGGGAGATGCGTGAGGAAGCATGGCGGAGTGCGACGGACCAGGGAGTGACGTAAGCGAGCACGGTGCCGTTGAAGTGGCGGTGCGCCGTGTCCTTCCAGTACCGCGCGTGCTCCTGCGCGCCGCGCATGCATGGCACGAGGGGGCATGGGGGCGAGAGGCCAGAGGGAATGCGGGGCGAGGGCGGCAGAGCAGCAGAGGGAAACAGCGAGGTGAGACGCGCAAAGAGCACTCGACCTTGAGAAAATTCGCGATACGACCTTGAGAATGTCGCGATACGACCTTGAGAATGTCGCGATACGACCTTGAGAATGTCGCGATACGACCTTGAGAATGTCGCGATACGACCTTGAGAATGTCGCGATACGACACGTCGGCGGTAACGAGGCGGCGCGCGAAGACGGACGACTCCACCGGCCCCTCGTCGCCACGCGCGCTCGCCGCCGGCTGCTGCCGCCGCTTCACGCGCTTGCTGTGCGCGCCGACTGCCAGAACCGCGAGCGCCAGCAGTAGTGCGCGCGGCGCGAGCACGCAGCGAGTGATGCGGCGAAAGGGAGCCATGCGTGTGCGTCGCAAGCCGGCGAGCACGAGAAAAGGCTGGCTGTCGGATCTCTGAACCTGCGGGGTGCTGTGCACAAGGCCTGGGTACTTGCGGCTCGCAAGGAAAAGCAACATCCGACAGAGGTACTCAATTTGCATTATCAAGGCAATGTAATTTAGTAGGCGTGTACTGTACGACCTATTCCAAGGTTTTAAAAGCAAAGACCAATTGCATGCTACAAAATAGAAAGAAAATCAGGAGCAATACAGCTACCAATAATAGCTACAACAGACTAAACTGCGGAATAATGCAGCGAGCAACAGATGAGGATGGAGAAAGCAACACAGGGTGGAGGCCAGTGTTGCCACGTGAGGGGGAAGAAAGCTAGAAGATAGGTCCCACCCCACGGGGCACGGCGGCAAGGTGGAGTGAGGTGTGGCATGACATGCGATGCACGGCAGGGCAGGGCACCTCGTGTGCATGGATGAACGCTAGTCCGTGCCTCCACTCATGCCCCCTCGCCCACCGCTGCCGTTCTGCATTCCCACACCACCGTTGTTGCTGCCCATCCCCCCCATCGCCCCGCCCCCCAGAGGCTTCCCATTGGGCATGCCGCCCGCCGCGCCGCCCAGCGCCTGCGAGAGCAGCAGCTGGCCGAGCAGGTTGGCTTCGGGCGGCAGGGCCTGCAGCCCCGCCACCTGCCCCAGCAGGTCCGTAGCGCCGGGGGCTCCCGCGCCCTGCCCCATCAGCAGCCGACTCAACACCTGACTCAGCCCTCCCTGCTGCTGTTGCTGCTGTTGCTGCTGCTGCTGCTGGAGAGATTGCTGCTGCTGATGTTGCATCATCTGTGGTTGCTGCTGCTGCTGTTGCTGCTGCTGCTGCTGCTGCAGCGGGGGAGGCTGACCCCCTCCCCCCACGAGCTGCACCAGCTCCAGCAGGGAAGCGCCGCTGAGCTCGCCGAGAGCGTTGGGCGCCTGCCCCTGCAGCGCGTGCTGCAGCGCCAGCTGGTTGCGCAGCGTTGCGTTGAACTGCTCCAGCAGCCCCTGCCCGCCCTGCCCCCCTTGCTGCTGCTGCCCCGCCCCCTGATGCGTCTCCCCCATGCTGCTGCTGCTGCTGCTGCTGGCTCTGTAACGGGAGTGATAGCAGCGAGGATGGCTGCTGGGTCTGCTGAATGCTGCCGGGTGCGCCCTGGCCTCCCCCCATGGGCATCAGCGCGTTCCCCCCGGCCCCCAGCAGGTGCCCCAATCCGCGCTGCTCCTGCAGGCTCCCCGCGCCCAGTCCCCCCCCAACGCCCGCACCGCCTCTGCCAGCGACGGTGGCGTCGTTCTGGCCGTGCCTCACGCCGCTTTCCACGGCGGGCGGGGAGAACGTCCCCACCTGGTCCTTGCTGCTGCTGCCGCCGTCGCCGCCCCTTCCGCCGTCCCCCGCTCCGCCATGCATCGCCTGCGGCTGACTGGGGGGCGGCGCCTGCGGCTGCGCGCCTTGGCGCTTGCGCTTCTTCTTCTCGTACGACATGCCGCGCGCCTTGCCCTGCTGCTCGCGCGTGTCGCGCAGGTACACGCGCACGATGCGCGCGGCGAAGGGGTTGTTCTCGGGCTTGCCGCCGTTCTCCTCGTACGCGGCGCGCAGGCGGCCGATGAGCGAGTCGAGGCTGCCCCACGCCTGCTTCATGGGGCACGCGCACGGGTGCGGGCCGCTCAGCCCGTAGAAGTGACACGCGTCAGCGTGGACCTTGGTTTTGCCAAACTGGTCGAGGTAGCGCAGGAACTCCACCACGTGCTGCGGGCTGCACCGCGACATCGCCACGGGCGGCCGGTGGTTCTTCAGGTACTGCCCGAACGTGTTCCAGTCGCGCCGCTTCTGCGACTCGTACCGGCTCGACCCCACACGGCCCCCGCTCCGCATGCCCACCGGCCGGCCCGCGCCGTCCATTCCCATGCCGTCGTCCGCGCCGTCCTCGCCGCCCTGCTCTTGCTCGTCGCGCCCGCTTCTCGCGCCCTGCTCCCCATCGCTGCCATCGCTGCGTGCCACCACCCCCGCGCTTCCCGCGCCGCCTGCGCCGTTCTCCGTCTTCGGCGCGACAGCGCCCGTTGATTGGTTCGCTTGGCCAGCGCCGCCGTCGGGCGCGTTGCCGGCGGAAGCCATGAGCGGCGGGGTGCGCGCGGGGGCGGTCGGAACGAGCGAGAACGAGTCGACATTTCGCCGCTCCCCCGCCGTCGCTCCGCCGGCGGGCCCCTTCCCCGGCGCCACACCCAGCGGCCCCGCCGGGGGGCTCCGACGAGATTGGGCATGGCGTTGGGCGCGTTGGGGCCGAGAAGCGACGCGATAGACGCCGCCGACAGCTGCAGCGACTGTTGCTGCTGTTGCTGTTGCTGTTGCTGTTGCTGATTAAATTGCGGCTGCTGCTGCTGCTGTTGCTGCTGCTGTTGTTGTTGCTGTTGCTGTTGCTGTTGCTGTTGCTGTTGCTGTTGCTGCGGCGTGTTGAGCGGCGGCATGTTACCCCCGGGCTGCGGTTGGAACGCGGCATGGCCGACCATCATGCTGAGCGACGCGTCGCCGGCGGCGCCGCCCAGCGAGCCCATGAGGTCGGACGACGCCATGAGCCCCGACGACCCCATGCCGAAGTTGAGCAGCGGAAGGGCCGACCGCGCCCCCTCGCCTCCGCCCGACCCACCGCCGGTCTCCGACTGCCCGCGGAAGTCCATCGGCGCAGCGGCGGAAGACGCGGGGAAAAGACTGGGGGTGAAACCCCCGGGGGAAGTGGAAATGCCGCCGCCAAGTGCAGTGGTTGCAAGCGGTGCGACTTCCGACGAGCGGAAATTCGACGACGCTGGAAGCGCGAGAGTCGCCAGATCTGCAACAAGGGAGTCCCCCGCCGAAAAGCGTTACGCCGTTGCGATGGATGATACGCGATAAGATCCCGAATGTGGCGGAACCGACGCAGGAGTGTGTATCCTGAAAGACAGGAGACAGTATGAAGCAACCGCAAAAATAAGAAATAATCTCACACAGAATAATATTTCTTTACAAGAAACAGCGCAACTGGCGCTTACCGGTCAAGTGAAGCTTAGCGAGGCGTGTGGAAGGAACACGAGGAACAGCTACTGGTGCTGTCGGATCTGAGCTTATGCTGGGAGCTACACTGATGAACAGAGGAGGGGGGTGTAGTTGGTCATGCACGAAGAGACGAGCGTGGAGCAGGTATTTGCAGGTTGTGGGTGGGATATGTTTGTCGCCGTGTTGCTCGTTGGGCTCAAATGTAGTGTTGCTTGGAAGTGTGTGAAGCGCAGCTGAACAGAAGATGCCCACAAATAGAAAAAGAAACAGGCTGAATGGCGCCGCACACGAAGCACAGTAGCTCGCTGCACGCAACCCCTCAACCCCAGCAGTTGACGGGGAGCTGGGAGTTCGTTGGTTTGGGAGGGGAGGGACAGGCAGGGGGAGGCTTGCTCGCTGTCGTGGAGCATGCAAAGCAAACCCCCGCCACCACCCCGCTTCGTCAGCCCCGCGCGGACTCACATGTGGGAGGTGCAGGTGCTGCGGGGAAAGGTCGTTGCGCCAGGTACAGAATGGGGTGAAGGCATGCGCGATGTTGATTTATGGTTTTGCATGCCCCTTGCATCTCAAAATACTGGTTACAGTACATAAAAAACCTTACTGAAGCCGGCTGGACGGAGGTTAGTTTAGCCTTTAAACAAAGCGTACTTATCTGGCTGGGTCGGAACGCCTGAAACATTAGATGTATAAATTCTTTTAAGTGGGGGTGGAGTTATTTGAGTGCTCCCAGCAAGAAACCCCTGGACATGGTGGAATAGTGAATCCGCAGTGGAGATTTACTTGGGGCGACTGGCGATTGTTTCTCGCACTGTGTGGTGGACGGGTGGCTGGGTACGAGGACGACTTCCATGAGGATCAGCGGGAGAGAGCAATCGACTCCAGCCGGTGCTAAAGCAGAAACACAAGTGTAGGGAGAGCAAGGCACGCACAGTTGCCACTGTAGTAGGCTCCTTCGCAATCGCAAGTTGAGTTGAGGGTCTAAAACAACACACACCCTAATGCAAACACTTAGCCCTCGGCAAAAATCAGACACCACCAGCCAGCAGCAGCAACCGATCAACTGCTTACCAGGGTCACTGTATTGCGCTGTACAGCACGATGAATCTGTATTATCTGACTCCCCTTCTGTTTGGAGGCAGCAAAATCTTTGCGCCAGGAGCCCCTGCTGTGTGATTTGCTGACCGGCTAATTTGATTGGCGAAGCCTGCAAGTAACCGTGGACGCACAAACTATTCGTCCTGACAAGACCGCAACCACAGCACAGTGCAAACCGCGTTGCTCACAACTCAGAGACGCGTTATGCTCATCAATGCAGATTGATGTGAGACCTGGAAAGATCACGGCTCTTGGCAGCATAAAAGAATTGGAATTTCGATGGGGATGAACAATCACAAGTTTCCTACACTAAGCTTGCCCAATGTCCACTTCAGAATTTATGTGTTTATGTAACTGAACAGTAACGCCTTGAATACGAACAATACAGTGCGGTATGGCTCGACAGTAATAATGGATTGCGGCTTAAGTATACAGTGAAAATACAACAGTCCTCTGACCATATTGTGCCAGCAGCTGTTTTCAACTGTTGCACAAAGCCCACACAATTATTACATTTTGCCAGGTGTCCAGCATGTTCCCACTTTCAGCTCATCTTTCTTAAAAACGACAAGCTTTTACTATCATGCAGGTTCATCCCTTCCACGAACGAAATTACGTCAGAAAGCTCGCTAACGTGATCGTTTGAAGTATGTCTCGCTGCGAATTATCATCAATTCATTGTTATCGGTGTTTCCGATTGGATATACTACAACATATATTACTGGATTGATTATATCCTCCTCACGGAAGTGCAGGTCTAAATTGACCGAACGGAAAATTGATATTCCTAAGGAGGAGGTGGGGGAGAATCTCTGGGCGGAGGATTCGTTTTATTGGAATTTTGGGTTTAAGGGGCTTCCTTATTATGTAAATTTTTGAAAGTGTGTAACACTTTCTAAAATTGTGTATTGTGAATAGCGAAGATATTTGTACCGAAGCAAAATGCTTCGGCGAACCGCTACTTCCCCTCTTTTTCGGTATAAAAGAGGGGGCGAAGGCCATTTGGCCTTCACCCACGTTTTTCATTTCAAACTTTCAGTTTTCAAGTTCTCGATTTTTTCCGTCCAAGCTGGCGAGGACTAACAGCCTTCCTCGCTTCACTTCTCCATCGACGCTCCTCTCCGACATCCTCGACCGCAACCTTTCGACTATGGCGCCGACGAACAACAATAGCCCCGGGGCTAAGGACGCAACTCCTCGACCTTCTTCGGGGCTTGAGAAAACGACCCGGGAAACCGGCGCGGAGAAGCGAAAACGCCCCACCGAGGAAAACGCCGAGGGCCCCAGCACTGGGGTGGACGTGCTGCTCGGCGAGGGCGGCGGCACACGCTCGCGCGCTCCCCAGCCACGCGCGTCCCACGAGCAGGCTCATGGGCCTGCAGTCGCCAATGATGACGACTTCGTCGTCATCACTGGCGCTGACGCGGGAGGATCGCGCGCCACCCCAAAGCGGAGGGCGACGGATTCGCCTGCAACCGAAGGGGCGGCGGCGAATCTTTCGCCCTCACAAGTGGCGGCACTGCTGGCGCTCCTCCAAAAGCAGGCCGCGGCCCCCGTTACAACGCCAGCAGCTACAACAGAAGCGGAAAATTTCGCTTCCGCTAAAACTGCAAACATTCGCAACAACGTCGCCACTTCCGCAAGAGTCGCCGCATCTCACCGCGCCGACAAGGGAAAGGCGCCAGCCGTCGAAGATGAACCCGCTGCACCCGACGACGCTGATTCCGACTCCGACAGCGATGCGGGTGAGGAACCAAACAATCCTATGCCCCTCGTGCCTAATGATCTCCTCCCCCCTCTCCCCTCTCCTCACCCTTCCACCGCGGCCGCCGCCTTCAACCGCAAAGGCGTCCGTGACCAGGCGGAGGTGTTCGAGGCACTTCAGACCTACCTGGCACACGTGGAACACAAGATCCGCGGAGGCGACGCCGCCGGTGCTCTTAAAACCGTCGGTCAAGCTCAAGACCTCATCAAGCGCCGCTTCGACGTCTTGGTCGTCGCCGACCATGCCGGGTTCGACGTGGCTGAGCGCTACCAGCTCCTCAAGACTACGGCGGTGCTCACCTCACGCTCCTTCAAGATGGCGGTGGCGGATATGGCAGCCCTCAAGCGTATGAAGACCGGCTTCGCCCGCGGGAGCCGTCCGTTTCACCGCGACTCCCCCCACTTCGTGCCAAAGACCATGGGCAGCGGCAACGGCTGTCGGGGCTTCAAGGGAACCTGTTTCCGCTGCGGCCAGAATGGCCACATGGCTAGCGCATGCCCCCATGGAGGCCATGGGGGCAATGGGCCCGCACCGGTGGTGTGAGAGAAGCCCCAAGCAACCTCGCCCTCCCATCTCCCCGCACCCAAGGTTCTCATACCTTGGCTGCCTTTGATGGAGGGTGGGGTGTGGGCTGGGCCGGGTGTGGACCAGGGGTCCTTGGTAGTGGCTGCTTAGCCAAAAGCTAGAGGCATGGAGTGCCCTAGGCTGTTTGTGTACGTGTGTATGCGTGTGTGTGCGTTTTTACGCAAAGCCCGGGTGGCTATGAAGTTGTATTTCTAATTATAATGGAATGTTGCTCAGGTCATTGGCCTTGGAGATCCAGCCTATGACAAGTTATGTCACCAAAAAGAGAGAGAGAGAGAGAGAAAGAGAGAGAGAGAGAGAGAGAGAGAGAGAGAGAGAGAGAGAGAGAGAGAGAGAGAGAGAGAGAGAGAGGGAGAAGGGTATGGGAAGGCAACGACCAACTCAATAGCATGAGAAAGTCACAACGCTTCGCATGGCAAGGCATAGTGAGTTCCCGTGGCCAATAGTGCCGGTTGTTACCAAGCCATCCAGCTGACATGCCTTGCGAGAGTGAGAGAGAGAGAGAGAGAGAGAGAGAGAGAGAGAGAGAGAGAGAGAGAGAGAGCGAGAGAGAGAGGAAATGAGAGAGAGAGAGAGAGGGAGAGAGAGAGGAAGAAGAAGAAAGAGAAGCGCGCGCGCAACGCGCATGGACCCTCGCTTGAACGGTTCTCACTTTGACACCCACAAAGAGGGGTGATACATGTTGTATCCAACAGATTCTTAGCCGCACCTCACTCACGTGCACTCGCAACCTCATTACCCTTATCAAAACCACGAGGTGCATGTCGTTATGCGTGAATGACCTGCTCATACGTGCGCGCCGATACATTTCACGTAATTTGAACGTCATGGTTCGATCCTGTACCTCTGCCATCCCGCAACGAAACACCCCATGGCAGCCACAACGCCTTCATGGTCCGGGGAGCAGGACGAGATCTTGGCAAATGCGGTTACCGATCGTGATGTCACAACCATGGGTGGTCGCCTCCGACAGGCGTTCGCTTGGTGGGCTTCCTGGTGCGAGAGCTCCTTGATCCTGTCGGTCATTGTCAATGGATATTGGCTTCCTTGGAAGGCATTCTCACCACCGCCGTTCCGTGAGCAAAATCACGCCGGAGTCTTGAAGCACACCGACTTCACCCGATCGGCAATTCAGGAATTGCTCACGTCAGGAGCAGCAGCAGTTGCATCTAGCTCATCGGCCGTTACATGCATCAGCCCACTCAACGTTGTGGAACAACGCAACAAGTGCCGCCTCATTCTCGACTTGCGAAAGGTCAATCAATACCTAATTGTCCCCAAATTCAAGTACGAAGGACTTCTTCGTGTCGCTGAACTGGCGAAGCCGGGCGACTGGATGTTCTCGGTTGACTTAAAGTCTGGCTATCATCATGTCGATATTCACTCATCTTGCTGGTCATTTCTAGGTTTTCACTTTGAAGGCACCGACTATGTTTTCAAGTCGTTGCCGTTCGGCCTCGCTACAGCGCCCTTCCTGTTCACCCAGTTGATCAAGCAGTTGGCACGGAAATGGCGAGCGCAAGGCATTCGGGTCATACCCTATGTGGACGATATATTGTTCCTTTGCGACTCGGAACAGGACGCTCGTTTGAAAAGTGGTGCAGTCATTCGAGACCTCAAGGAGTCGGGGCTCGTCATCAACGCAAAAAAGTCGCACCTGATCGCGACTCAAAAATTGCACTTCCTCGGAATGGAGCTGGACACCGCATCCGGAAGGTTCACTATCGGCCAGGAGAGAAAGGCGCAACTCACACAAGCACTACATGTGCTGCTTCTCGCCTACAAGCGCAACCAGCGGGTATCAATCCGCCTCGTCACCGGCGCTCCATGGCGCGTCATCCATGGCGCTCGCCCTTGGTGCGACGGCGCGCTCTTTCAGCCATCAACTTTTGACACTCATTAATGAGGCGCCATCATGGAATGCACGAGTGACCGTGACCTCGGAAGTTCGCGACGAGCTACAATTTTGGTCTGACCACTTCGACCATTTTAACGGGGCTCCTTTTCACATGCCCCACAGTCTGGACACGGTCATTCACGTCGACGCTAGCGCACACAGTTGGGGTGCAACCCTTTCATCCTTCCCCGGCGGAAGCTCGCAAGGAAGCAGCCCCATGCCAAAAGAACTTCTCTCCACATCGAGCAGCTCGAGGGAGTGCTATGGGCACTGCAGACGTTCAAGGACCAGATCCAAGGTCGTCGCGCACTCATGCGAGTAGACAACCAAGGCGTCTTCTTCATTCTGCGCAAAGGCGGCTCTCGCCAGCCTGAGCTCACTCTTCTGTGCAAGGCCATCGTCGCAATTTGCATGGCGCACGAAACCCGTCTGGCCATCGAATGGATTCCACGTGCTCTCAATACGCATGCAGATGCACTGTCCAAATTGGAAGACCACGACGACTACTCGCTCAAGCTCCCCTGGTTTCGATTATTGGAAAGGCGTTGGGGATCACACACCATCGACCTATTCGCCAATGCCAACAACGCACAGCTCCCGCGCTTCTGCGCTAAACATCCGCACCCACGTGCAACTGCCATAAATGCATTCTCGCTCGATTGGGGATTAGAGCACGGCTTCGCGTTCCCGCCGCCGAACCTCATCCCAGCGACCTTGCACCATGCCGCACGCACGAACGCCACGATGACACTAGTCGTTCCCGAATGGACAGGCGCTGCTTGGTGGCCCCTAATCAGACCTTCCCCACACACCTGGGCAATCGGCATCTCCTCCATCCTCTACCTTGCTAGTGGTAGTCAATGCTTGCATGTGGGCTCCCATGAACATGCATTCTCGGGTGCTGGTCTTCCAGTCAGTCGTATCTTAGCACTGAAATTCAATTACAAACCTTGATGTACCATTCTTGTATCCTATGATTACAGATATGCTTCCAAGGTTGCATCACCAGCTACTTCTTATGACAGCCAAGACACGATCGGAATCAACAATCAACACATACGAACCGTACTGGGAGAAGTTTCGCAGCTTTTGCATGAAGGCCAAAGTGGATTTCTTGCCTGCCGCAGATCTCACGCTTGCACTCTACTTAGTGCACGCAATCAACCACCAGGCCACAGTCTCCAGCGTACAGCTCACATGCGCTGCAGTCAGCTTTGCCCATCGCATGACAGGGTCAGCCAACCCAGCGAACGGCCCGTTCACAACGCAAGTCCGAGAGTACGCCAAACGACACTGCCCTCGGCCTACACGAGTGAAAGAGCCCGTCTCCCTCCATCAAGTCCAGGCAATGGCGGGGCCTTTTCTCCAGTCACGCGAACCCGGCACCTACCAGAAGGGCCTCATCGTGCTGCTCATGTACTCGGCCTTCCTTCGCTTCTCGGACCTGGTGTCCATCCAGTGGGAGGACATCCAGTTCGAGGCTACGGCAATGTGGCTCCTAATTCCGCACTCCAAAACCGATCAGGAGAGCAAGGGCGTATGGGTCCCCGTTGCCGCGACTGACGGACCATTCTGCCCCGTGCGGTGCACCAGGCACTTCATCAAGCTGGCACAGTACGGGCCAAAGACCAAAGGCCCGTTAATTCGTATTTTTCGACGCAACTTCCCGCCATCCTCGCAGGATACCGCCCCATCATACCCCACTGTCCGCACGTGGTGCTTGCAGGCATTCCAAGCAGCCGGCATCGACCCTACAAACCTCGGCACCCATTCATTCCGCAAAGGGGCAGCAACAGTTGCAGCGAGTACGGGCATCCCGGACCGCCTTTTCAAAAGACTGGGGCGATGGCGGAGCGAAACCGCGAAGGACCTTTATGTCACCATCTCCCACGATCACCTCCTTGCTGCGTCGCGGCGCCTTCACGATCAGGCGCACGTTCCGTCCCCCTCGCAGCATGAGCGTGCCCTTACTCGACACCGCCAACAAGCACTCACCATGTCTCAGAAAACCCAGTTGAAATGAGACGTTGCATTTGCAAAGACAAATAGCAAGCCTTCACAATATGTAAATTTTTGAAAGTGTGTAACACTTTCTAAAATTGTGTATTGTGAATAGCGAAGATATTTGTACCGAAGCAAAATGCTTCGGCGAACCGCTACTTCCCCTCTTTTTCGGTATAAAAGAGGGGGCGAAGGCCATTTGGCCTTCACCCACGTTTTTCATTTCAAACTTTCAGTTTTCAAGTTCCCCACCCTCCCACCCTAGTATAGTAGAGAATTCATCGTTGTTACTATGTAATATGCTTGGACGATAAAAAATCTTGTACTTGCCAGTTGAAATGAGACGTTGCATTTGCAAAGACAAATAGCAAGCCTTCACAATGTGGAAATTTAACGCAGTACTACGATGCATTTGGAAAAACCAAAGTGTTGCCAATGCTTGAGCCATTTCCTTCACTGGCCAAACATCAAGCAAGCGTTTCCTCTTTTAGTCTGGGGAACGCTTCAATCGATTGTTCCTAAATTACGTTTATGACGCCACGCGCTGTAACTCGTGACGCACCCTATTGACGCACGCACGACGCTGTGTAGAACCCATTCATGATTCTATGCACCCCAGAAAGGAACTCCGTTTGAAAGTCTAATATACCATCTCAAAGTCAATTAGAAGCGTGCACTGCACGCACTAATCTTGATCAAATCATTTGCAATTTATCACATTAAATCAGGTAGAAACCCCTGTGTATGTATCATCATGTAAAAGCAGTGAATGTAATATAGGTCAATGATAACACGTGAATGTTGTTTTCCATTCAGCGAAATTTGGAAGAGCAAATTATGCTGTGCTTAATTCCGGGTTGGATTTTGCAAAACCCACTGTTGTAATAGCGGACACGGTCTTGTATTGAGTTCCCAAGCTGTCTTGTGCTTCCTTGGGATTGCGTTGCCATCCGTTGTATGACCTTGGATTGGACCTCTCGACAATGGAACTAACTAGCATGATCGTTCAGGCACGGATATATTATCTGGGCCTGTGATCAATCAGGGGAGGCACGTCACAACCACTCGAACCCGTATCCGCGAACCACTGTCGTCCCTCACCGCTCGCAAAACCGACAAAGTGGGATTTTCTAAGTTCTGACCTCAAAATAGGGACGAATCCGTACTGCTCCCAGTATCGAACCGAGGTTGATCAGCTCAACGGATCACTTATTGTATTCTCGCATTGCTAGAGCATCGGTATTCTCGCATTAGCTTCACGCTGCCGTCGAATCGAAGTTTGCCAGACAACGCGGACCCATCACAACTTGTTCCCATTCATGAAGGTCGTCGCAATCGTGTCCGATTGGTGTTCGCTCTCACAGCCGATTGTAACCGGAGTCACAGCGCTGGCTGATCAGTCGCGGAGTCGCAATGACGATCAACGCCGTGCTCGAGGCGGACCTGCGCTCCATTTCCGCTGAGGCTCGGCGGCGATTCCCCGCTGTGAAGGACGCCGCGGAACGTGGAATCCTCAAGGTGTGCTGCACGGATTGGCTCAGCCGATCCAGTATTCTCACTTCCAGCTTTCATGTTCCCCGTGCTCACTTCTGAGGCTGCTCAAAAGAAGTTCCTTGTGCTGATATGTCCTGATTTAACTTTCGTTTAATTGGCATGAGCCATTCCCTTTCTTGCTGCGTTGCCATTACTCAGCTGCGCTCTCTGGCAGGTCCCGAAGCCATTTCGAGAAGTGATGAGTTGCTGCGAATCTTCCTGCTGGCGTGCGACACAAGGCAGCCGCGGCTGTGCGCCTTGGGATTGTCGTGCGTGCAGAAGCTGGTGGCCAACAACGCAGTGCCGCCTGCTGCCTTGTCTGATATACTGACCACCCTCAGAGAGGTGAATCACGACGCTCCCTCATTCACACTGCATGCAAATATGCAAGCCTGTTTAATTGTCAGTTCTCAGATTGATGCAAGGCTCTCGGACCAGCACTTCATGCCGTGATGCGCCGCATTCTGCCTAGCATTTCTTGCCCTGGTTCAGCTTATCTCGACTGTGATGCAGGATATCTGCCTCACGTTTCTGTGCCTGACTGACACATGACTAGTTTACCTGAAACCTATTCAGAGCAATGCACCCACGTTCCTGGCTGTAGATTGGTGGGCGAGACGCACATGACAATGCGAGTCAGCCCTGTTATACACCTGTCCTTCCTTTCTCCCATGTACACTCTCCAGCACGCGGACGGGTCGGAGGAGGCGGTGCAGCTGAAGGTGCTGCAGACAGTGCTGACGGTGCTGCAGTCGCAGCTGCACCCCAAAGATGAGGTGCGCTGCCATGCCCTCGCCGTGCACCTCTGCCATGGGGAGGTGGGGTCTGTTTGCTAGGAGAGGAGTGTCTCACGGATGCACCTGGATAGGAAGAATGAGGAGCATATGGCATGCATGCGAGCACCAGTACATGCATGCACGCAGCCGTACAGAGACTTGTCATTTTGCATACAAAGAATGACCCAGTGCATGCCTCAAGTCGGTAGCCACATGTGTGCACCAAGTTGGTCCATGCATGTGCGCATGTCCCGCCCATCCCATGTGTGCAGGAGAGCATGGCCATCATCCTTGGCATCTGCCTTCGTCTCGCAGGCAGCACACGGCAGCTGGACTGTGTTCACAGGTGGGGGGGAGGGGATGTTCACTTGCATGCTCATGTGCGTGGCCTTTGAGTGCCTGCCGTTGCATCCACGTGTTGGCCTGCTCCTGCTGCTGCACTTCATCTCCGCACAAACATTTCCCTCCCCGTCAACCCAACCCGCGTGCATGTGTGCATGGCAGCACGGCGACAGCAACGCTGCGGCAAGCCATAGCGCTCATCTTTGACAGAGCTGCCAGCAGTGAGGGCCTGCCCGTGCATTCCGCCCCCCGCCAGGCCAACCGCGTGTGGAACACCTCGGAGCCGGGCGACATCAGCCGCATCGTCATGGCCTCCCGGTGAGCCCACTGCCACCCAGTCACCATTGGCATGGCATTCAAGAAGTACGTGTGTCACAACATGTTTGCCCCCCTTTGTGGCATATGACCCCATGGCAGGGCGACGGAGGGCGAGGGGGCGGGGCGGGGGGTGGGGGAGGAGCTGGAGACGGTGGTGCTGAAGGAGCGCGTGGACGACCTCTCACCCGCTGCTCGCATGGGCCTCCGCCTGCTGGAAGACCTTGCTGCCCTCGCTGCTGGCCAACAGGTGCGCACCGGGCAGGGAGGTTCAGCAGGGCAGGGTCGTACGGGGTGGGTGGGAGGGGAGGGCTGCTGGTAGAGCGGGAGTAGGGAGGGAAGTTTACTTGAAAAGGGATGTTTGCGTCAGATGTGATTTGCGCATGATGCAATTCCTGTGGCAACCACTTGTGTTCTCATGTGTGCATGATACCCCCATCCTCCGGGTTCCTTCCCCACATGGCAGGCGCAGTGGCTGCACGTGCCATCACTGCAGCGCACGTTCGCCCTGGAGATGCTGGAGTACGTCGTCTCCCACTATGCCACGCTCTTCCGCCGCCTCTCTCCCTACCAGCAGGTCAGCCATGCACCGTGCCGTGCTACCATGCATGGGCTGCACCACTCGTGAGGTGAGGTTATCTACGAGGCATTTGTTGCACGAGCACAAAATGAATCAGGCATTTCGCAGGAGTTTGACACTAACGTGTCACACGTGTCCACTTGCTTGCTTGATGTCAGATCGTTTGAGCACTGACTGTTGTAAAATTGATGAGTGATCCTCGCTGACAGTTTCCCTTGCATTTGAGCACGTTCGTGCTCCTTCTTTCCCACTCCTCCACGATGGTGCCTCACCAGGTGCTGCAGCACAAGCTCTGTGCTCTCGTCATGACGTCACTGCGCTCCACAGGCTCTGAGGTGAGTGCCATCGTGTGAGTGCTTCTGCATGTCGTGTCGCAGCACTAGCGATTGCCGTCTCACCTAACCATTCCTCGTTGTGCATGGGGCGGCGTGGGCACTGGGCATCAGGAGGGGGATGTGGGCGAGCCAGGGTACCGGCGGTTGGTGCTGCGATGTGTGGCCACCCTCGTGCGCCAGCACCACGCCCAGCTCACCACTGAGTGCGAGGTGAGAGCAGTGGGACACGCCTGCGGGCGATAGTCATGGCACTTGTTGATCCTTCTTTCATTGTTGCTTCTCTTCCGTGTTCTCCTCTTCTTCCTCCCCGCACTTCCCCAACCCAATCCTCGCCCTCATCGTTTTCCCTGAGCACCGTGTATCCCGGGCAGGTGTTTCTGCTGATGCTGGTGAAGAGCGTGGACCAGGACCTGCCTCTCTGGCACCGCATCCTCGTGCTCGAAGTGCTCCGGGTATGCCTCACACCGCACCACACCCACTGGTTAGATGCTAAGGGTAGGCCATGCCAGCTATTAAGTGCCTGACCACGCGAACCCAGTTGTGAGCATGCCTTCTGGGAAAGTGTTTGCGGTAGGCCCTCCACGCGTGCCATGTGCAAAGGGTCACAAGAGCCATGTGCGGATGGGTGGAAGATAGAGAGCATGTCATGGTGGCTTCTGGCCGTTCCGTGTGATAGCGTTGCTTACTCAACACTTGCACGCTCCTGTGTGCGTGTGTGCACTCATCTGCATGCAGGGCTTCTGTGTCGAACCAGGGACCCTTCAACTCATATTCAATCTGTTTGACATGTGAGTGCTCTCACCCTGTTCCGTATATGAGGGATTTCACGCTGTGATGTGTGTGGTTTCTTGTTTGGCGTGTGGGAGCAGTTTCCCGGCAGGTTCATACGTGCTGCCAGTGGTACTTGTGTCAGTATACCATCAGACTGTGTTCGCAGTTGTATGAAACCAGGACCTCTAAAGAATTGAATTTACTACCGTTATAACCCCGGGTGAGGTAGGTTTCTGCCAACTTTTGGAAGTATTCTAAACAGCACTTTAACTTCTGGAATGCTTGTTGCTGTCGTCGCTGTGGACGTCCACCTCCTTTGCTGTCTTCTCCCCCCTGAGCGTGGCTGTTGCGTGTGTGTCAGGCAGCCGGGCAACAGCAGCATAGTGGAGGAGATGGCAGTGGCGCTGGCGCATGTGGTGCAGAGCGTGCAGGTCTGCTGCTGCCTGCCCTGCTGCCCTCATGCACTCGGTCGTTGTTAACACCCACTGTCACCACACACATGTGCCACCATGCTGACATGGTCTCAGCAACACATCACAACCAACTTCTTCCCTTATGACTAAATCCCCATCTCATTTCTCACAACGACTCACTTTCTTCTCCTTATCTCATTGTCCATGTTCACTCCACATTCTCCACACTCATGCATGTGTGTGTGTGTGTGTGTGTGTGTGTGTGTGTGTGTGTGTGTGCATGTATGCATGTGCATGAGAGTACGCCTGTTTGCTCATGGCTCACAGGTGCCAGACTCCAGTGAGGAGAGTCTAGCTGCAGTTGCCGGCATGTTCAGCAGCAAGGCCAGAGGTGATTATCCTTTAACCCTCACTGCTGTGCCGTCTCTCACTGTAAGCCGTGCAGGCTACAATTTTAATGCGTATGTGCGTGCCATGTGGTGTGTGGCAGCAGGGGTGGAGTGGTCCATGGACTTTGACTGGGCGGGCAGCGCAGTGGTGGCGGCCAGTGAGGCGCACGCCATAACGCTGGCGGTGGAGGGGCTGCTGGGCATCGTCTTCACCATCGCGCTGCTCACCGACGACGCCATGGACCACTCGCTCCCCCACTCCTCCTCAATGCCCAACTCCCCCCTCGCGACGCGCAAGCAACCGCACGCTCAGACCATGGGCCAGGGCGGTGGGACTGCTGCCACAGATGGTGCTGCAGGGGGTGGTGCGCGCCAGAGCGAGGAGAGGACATCACCCGTGGACCCCCCCTTCCCACGGGTGCCAGGGCAGCACTCTGCCTTGCTGGCCGAGTCTGCCTCCCATGCGCCCTCCCCAGGGCTCACTCGCGGCCTGCTGGCCCTGCTGGGCGGCATGCAGGAGGAGGGCGGTGGGGGCGAGCTGATGAAGAAAGGAGATCAGAAAGATGAGGATGCGGAGAGCAGGGGCAGCAGTGCAGAGGGGCGGGTGCGCGGAGCACTGGAGGAGCTGTGTGTGCGCATGGTGGATGCCGTGTGGAAGACCGTGCTCGATGCCCTCTCCATCATTCTTGCTCGGTCAGTGCCCTTCCCTTCCCACTCACAAACTCAGAGCTGCTTGCAGGCGCACACCAGTCGGGCACACACCAGTCGGGCACACACCAGTCGGGCACACACCGCCGTTTTTGAATGCATTAAGTCATTTTCTTCTCCCTGCAAGTCATTTTCTTCTCCCTGCTCAGTTGTGTAGACACTTGTTAACTGCACAGCCCATGCTTTCAAATTACTCCGCTCATCTGTCCCGCCCCTGTATCTGCAGGTCACAGGGCGAGGCTGTCATTCTGGAAATTCTACGGGCATACCAGGCATTCACTCAGGTGAGAATCAAGATTAGGACACAAGTGGCTTCTACCCAGGTGAGGTGAGGATGCAACAGGTGTTTCCTCGCCAGACACTGCCTCTTTGCTGCCTTGCTCCGTGCACTCACATTCCCTTCCTCTGCTTGCCCCAACCACCCTTGTTGCCGTGACCACCAGGCATGTGGGGCGTTGGACCTGGTGGATCCACGGGACGAGTTCCTGGCATCGCTGTGTCGCTTCACGCTCGTCACCTCACCATCCATCACCACCATGGCGCCCCCCGCCCAGCCCTTTGACTCCGACCGCTTCCAACTGCCCTCCTCCCCGTCAAGGTAAGTTCATCCAGTTCCCATGCTCATTCCCTCCACTCCTCTCCCACCTGTGCATTGCACATCATGGCCACTAGTGTCATCACTCTATGACACCCGTTCTAATCATCACCACCAAATGCCAATCTCACACACATCAATGCCAGCGTGTAACATGTTGGCCTTCCTCTCTTCACGATTCATGGAGGGAGCTTGACATGGTGGCTTGGCTTCATGCCTGTCGACCACCAGGCACCTCGTCACCTCCCCCATCAAGCTTTTCACATTCCATCACTTGTGAACCCCTTGTGTGCCCGCCCCTGTGCCACTCCCCCCTGCGTGCAGCGCGTACCTGTCGCCCATGAGGTCGCTGGACGCATTGCTGGGCGTGGAGTCACGGGGCGACCTGCTCGCCTCCTCCATGGGCTCCGCTGCTGCCGCCTCTGCTGCTGCCCTGGGGCAGGCCGTGCCTGTGCTCACACCCAAGAACATGCACGCCCTGCGCACCCTCTTCAATGTCTCGCACCGCCTCTGCGCTGTGCTTGGACCGTCCTGGGAACTGGTGTGCGCCCATTTCCATCTTGCACCATCGACCTTGCGTTGTGCTTTGCCAAGTGTTCCATTCTGTAACATGGCCCACGGCCTGTGCCCCGTGCCATGATTTCTCAGGGCCGGGTTGTGTTCCTTCTCATGTTGTGCCCCCATGCCATGTTGCTTGCACCTCATCAGGTGATGGAGACTCTGGCTGCCCTCGACCGCACCATCCATTCGCCATACGCCACCAGCCAGGCATGTAGCATGTCCTTGCACGTAGTGTTGTGAGTGTCGTGCAACATTTCATGTGGTACAGGGCATTGCTGCACTGTCTGTATTGTCAGCAGTGTCCATGTGGCATCAGCACGCGAGGTGCTACCCTGACATGCGAGGTGCTACCCTGACATGCGAGGTGCTACCCTGACATGTGAGGTGCTACCCTGACATGCGAGGTGCTACCCTGACATGCAGTGATGCCTCTAGACGTGCATGTGCGTGGTGGTGCCGTGCAACCCTCCCAATGCAGGACGTATCAACATCAGCATCAACGCCAGCAGCAGGGTCACGCGGGTCCAAGGACACAGGCGCGCCCTCCTCACAGCAGTCCGACTTCTCCGTGCTCGCCACCCTCGATGCACAAGTAAGTATACCCGCCACCACGTACCTTGACGTGGCACCGTGACTGCGCGCTGATGTAGACGTGCATGGCATGGCGGCAATGAGTGAGATCACTGGTTGCCACCCCATCCACCCCACGCCCTCACGCCACCGCCACTCCACTACCTGCCACCAGCTGTTCCAGAGCACGGTGCACATGGACACAGCGGCCGTGCTGGCCCTGCTGGCGGCGCTGCGAGTGGTGTCCAACCGCGCTCTGCACTCCGTCACCACCGGCCTCGGCATCGCTGCCTCGGGCTCCTCCGCTGCTGCTGCCGCCGCTGGCACGTCTGCTGCTGCAGCTGCCGTGGCGTCTCCTCTCACCACGGGCGCGCTGCCGTCGACGCTCAAGATGTTTGCCGTGGAGCGCATGCTGTCCGTGCTCACCCACAACATGCACCGTAAGTCGTGGCCCATTCAGAGAAGCACAGTGTAGTTCATGGCTGGATTGCACAAGCAATCTGTTTATCTCACAGGCGAGGGTCACTGTGGTTCTTGATTATCACTCTAAGTGTAGGACCCTGCACTGCACCGTGTCTGCTTGTGCCCTGTTTCAGGAATGGACCTTATCTGGGATGCCATCCTGCTGCACCTGCTTGAGGTATGCACCGCTTCCAATCCAACTCACAAGTCTAGCTGCACTCTGTCTTGCACACCCTCCCCTAAACCCAAAACTCTTCGACCAGCATAATTGTCATCCTTCATATTCATATTACAGCTCTTCCCTTGGACCGATTCTGTCTCCCATCCGTCCCTCCCATGCGTGTGTGTGCATGCACAGCTGTCAGTGCACGAGAGTGGAGGAGTGCGGGCGGTGGCGGTGGATGCCATCGACCGCGCCGTCATGGCCGCCCTCTCCTCGCCCTCGCTGCACCGCCGCTCCTCCACCTCCTCCTCCTCCGCCCTCACCTCCGCCACAGCCCCTTCACAGGCCACTGAGGAGCAGCAGGGGGCGGAGGTTTGTCGGAACGAGGGACAGGAGGGGGGCGAGGAGAGGGAGGGGCAGAGGGGGGAGGGCGAGGGCGAGGGCGAGGGGCAGGGGGAGGCGGCGCTGGAGGAGATGGTGGTGGGCGCTGTGAGCTCCCTGTGGCGCGATGGGCGCGATGCAGAGGTCAAGGCAGGCGCTCTGCGCATCCTGCTGCACATGCTGGAGGTGAGTCCGGCGCAATCCATTAGCAAAGTGCGAATGTGCTGCTTACTCCCCCAACGGCTTAACCCTGGTATGGAGGGCTATTGCCTGGCTGCACCGGTGCAAACGCGTGCAGCCGTGGCATGTTCTCTTTCTCTTCTTTCCCCTCTCCCTTCCTCCTTCGCTCTCTTCCATTCTCTCTCAGTCCATTGCTGATGCCCTTTTGTGTCCTCTCTCTCATCTGGTATTCTGCACTGCCCCTCCCTTCACTGCCTGTCTGCAGCGCCATGGGGAGAAGCTGCACTCCACATGGCCCACTGTGCTCCACCTCCTGAGGTCAGCTTGCTGCACCCACACACTGATGAGCTCAAGGTGCTATCAGCTCTTATTGTTATTCGACCTTCAATTGCCATTTGTCAACGTTGTTTGATGTCATTGTGGCTCCACGGTAACATGCCATCCCTTTCCATGGTGTTCCATTCCACACTGTTCCATGCCATGCCATTGCCATGCCATCACATCGCAATCCCACGCTGTGCCATGCCGTCATGCCGATGCAATGCCATACCCAAGCAGGATGGTTGCAGCGACGAATGACAAGGACCTTGTGGGTCTTGCCTTCCAGGTGGGTGCGCCCTGCTGCTCATGTCTTCCCCCTCCTTCTTCTTTGCTTTGCTGGTCCCACTGTCCACTCATGCCACCATTTTGCCTGCGCACAAGCTGAGCCACGCTGGGTGTGGAGCAGGCACCTGAAGCTTGCATAATCGTGTGTCTCTGACTGCGCATGTGGCATGCAGAGTGAGCTCGTGGTGGTCAACGACTGCCTCTCCTCCATTCCGCCTCACACCCTTCAACTGTCAGTCTCCATGCCACATCATGCATGCCAAACATATCATCGTGCCATGCCATTGTTACAGCGCATCCTGTTATGCTCTTTCAACACTGATCTTTCTCATACCATTCCAGCATATCACCATGCCGTCTCATTTGCCCTACCCATAGTGCTCGTTCGCATCCACAGCTCATGCCCTTTTGCCCGCATGTCTCTTCCCATCTCATGTCGCATTCCACTTGCTTCTCTTGTGCACCCTTAACCTCATCCCACAGATCGTGCCGCTGGCCCATGTAACAGACCCCCTTGGCAAAACATCATCTACTGCACTGTTATGCCCATGATTGAGTTACACGGTTCACCTGTTTTGCTCATTCACGGCTGCGCTTGCAATCTCTGATGAAGCCTGTACCTTCGATCCCCCCCTTCACTGCGTACCAGGTGTGTGGAGGTGGTGGGGGCGTTTGCGGGGCAAGTGGCGGATGTGAACATCTCTCTCACGGCAGTGGGGCTGCTCTGGACCATGGCTGACTTCTTTGCTCGCGGCCTCGACCATGCCACCACCACACACCGCACTGCCACCTGTGAGACCACTATGCACTAGGACTTACCTGGAATGTCTAATTCATTTTTCCCAAGCCGTTGACCTCACTGTTACATGCCTGACCTGACTCTGTTCTGAGCCTCATAATCTACCACCTTCTCAGGTTGCCAGTTTCCATGCCTAACAGTTAGCCCTCCTTCAAATCCCTAGACGCGTTCTTCTGAGCTTTGAGGCTTGCACCTTCTGTACCTGAAAGGAGACACTACTTTATTCCAAGGCGGTGGCTTCTCCCTCACTCATACACACAGTGCTTCCAGCTCCCCCCACGCTTGTTTTTTCTCTTCCATATCCCTCTATTTCCCAGTTTCCACACTACTCAACCAGTGTGACCTCCCCTCCTCCTCCTCGACATCCTCTGCAGCAGCCCCTCTCACCTCCGCCTCCCCTGCCACATCTCTTCCATCAACGGCGCCAGCAGCAGCAGCAGCATCAGCACTGAAGCTGCCAGCGTCAGCCACGCCCTCCACCTTCACCAGGATACACAGAAAGCCGGCTCACACAGACGCAGGGGGGACCAAACGGGGAGAGGGGGGTGAAGGAACGGATGGGGGGGGAGGGCAGGGGAGGGGATCTGGCAGTGGGAGGATGTTGGACGAGCGCAGCAGCGCACTGCTGCTGGCGGTGCTGTGTGTGATGGAGGCACGTGCCAAGGACGGGCGGCCGGAGGTGCGCAATGCTGCGATGCGCACGCTGTTCCAGACGGTGGTCAGCCACGGCGCCAAGCTGCCCCCTGCCTCCTGGCGCCACTGCCTCTGGGACCTCATCTTCCCCCTCATCGACTCCGTTCGCTCCCTTGTGAGTCCCTGCGCTCCCTTGTGAGTCCCTGCGCTCCCTTGTGAGTCCCTGCCTCCCATTGCCTTCCAGTGCCAGTCCATGGTAGTGAATGGTGGTCGGTGACATTGTGTCAGTATCAGTCACAGCGCAAGACAACCGCAGCCACATGCCTGTCAGTCACGCACCCGGCATTCGCATGTTCTGCTCTCCTCCCTTGTGGCCTGCAGGCAGCCACGGCGTCGAGAGACGAGGCGCCGGGGACGGAGATAGGGCGGCAGGGGGGGAGGAGTGTGATGATGCTGGTGCACCACAGCCGCAACACGGCGCAGAAGCAGTGGGATGAGACGCTCGTCATGGCGCTCAATGGCCTTGCTAGGCTCATCCGCGCCTTCTTCCCCCTGCTGCATACCATGGACAACTTCCGGGAAGGTGCGCTGCGCACTGCGTGCATAGTTGAGCAGTGCATGCGAAGCTGTTCCTCGTGCTCCCCACCTTCCGTCTTAGAACCTGTAAGCAAGGTCGTATACCTCTTTCATCCCAGCTATCACATTTCACTCCTCCTCTCCATCGTTTTTCCCTTTGCTCCTTCCGAACCGCCCTCCTGTACCAACCCGTGGCCATGGTGGTGGCAGTGTGGGGCGCGCTGCTGCAGTTCGTGGAGGAGGGGGTGCTGGCGGGCAGCAGAGAAGTCAGTGCTGCTGCTGCCAGCACCCTGCAGACCATCATGCTCACACATGCCACCAAGGTGACCATCATGCTCACACATGCCACCAAGGTGACCATCATGCTCACACATGCCACCAAGGTGACCATCATGCTCACACATGCCACCAAGGTGACCATCATGCTCACACATGCCACCAAGGTGACCATCATGCTCACACATGCCACCAAGGTGACCATCATGCTCACACATGCCACCAAGGTGACCATCATGCTCACACATGCCACCAAGGTGACCATCATGCTCACACATGCCACCAAGGTGACCATCATGCCCACACATGCTTTTTGTGCCTTGGCTATGCTTCCCACCACTCCATGCTGACCTCATCCTGTGCTGCCTTACCCCACCTGCTGCACTCTGCTGCGTGCGTGACCCTGCTGCATGTGTGACTCCACTCCACCCGCCCGCACGTGCCATGGTGGCTGGCAGGGCAGCATCCCGCGGCACTACTGGGACAGCAGCATGGACGCGTACGAGCTGCTGCTAAGGGACAGCACGGCGCCTGCCTCTGTGGTGGCGGTGCGCACGAGGCAGAAGCTGCTGGAGGACCTGGCGGAGGTGTACAGCACGGCGGGCCTCGCCTTTGAGGACCACGACTACCTGCGCCTGCTCGCCTGCGTTGATGTCATGGCGCGCTGCCCCGTGCTGCCCTCTGAACCCCCTCCCCTCGCTGTACGCCCTGCATGCGCCCTTTGCTCTTGATGCTGTGTTGTCACCATGCCGTGCTTTCAAACAATCCGTCTGCGCCCTCTACTCACCATCATCATGGCGTCAGCTTTGTTCGAGGCCTCAGATATCCCTATCTGCTTCAATCTGCCCATTTCCTTGTCATTTGCTGCTGCTCACTGCACACTCCGCTTCGCCCCCTCCCTTCCCACACACCTCTCTGCACGCGGCCATGCCATGCGCACGGCCAGGGCACGCTGCCCCAGGTGCAGCGCACGGTGCTGGAGGTGCTGCCGCGCCTGCAGCCCTCAGCGCACGCGCATCTGTGGCCCGCACTGCTGCAGCAGCTGCTGGCGTACCTGCCGGGCGGGGACCGCCTGCTGTGCCCGCACTGCCGCGTGCCGCCGCGCTTCCTGTCCGATGCCTCCCAACGCCACGCCCCCAAGGTTGCCCTCGCTGCCGCTGCAGGGGGTGTGGACGGCAGGGGGGGGAGCAGCGGCGCTGGTGAAGGAAGAGAAGAAGGAGAAGGAGATGATGGTGGGGATGCGGGCGGAGCAGGCAGCGAGGAAATCGATATTCAAGGAGGGGACGCGGAGGGTGCCACACAAACTGCCAGCAACGGCAGTAGCAGCCGGACGGCATCATTCGGGCTATCGCTGGGCGGCAAGGTGCAGCTGTTTGCGCCGGCAGCGGTGTACGTGCCGACGTCAGGCAACCCCACGGGGTCGTTCATGCTCAGCTACCCCGTCACGGCGCCCGGCGCCCTCTCACCCGCTCTGCAGGACCGCGTGGTGGCACTGCTGCTCGAGCTCTTCCTCAACGCGCCCCCCGAGGCCAGAGACACCGTCCTGCCCGACCTCGTTGCTGCTCTCGGCAGGTGACGTGGCCATGCATGCCGTGCAGAAAAGGGTGGGCGCGAGCGGGCGCTGGAATTGAGACTTTCACACAGTTTCAGCCGTTTTTCCTGACAATTGTTGGAACAGATGCACTCTATCTCTGCTTATGCATTCATTTCATTCTCATTTACTTGTTGTGCTTACCACGTGCTTCTCCCACCATATCCTCCCCGCTGCAATCTTGCGCACCACAGGTGTATGCTCATCCGCCGCACGTCGCCTGACCTTCAGCTGTGGCGCACGGCCGTGGCCACGCTCTCAGACATCCTCAAACACGCCCTCCTGCCTGACCCCCCTCTCACACCACACGCCAATCATACCTCTCCTGACCCTCAGTCCCCTGCACACCCACCGTCTCCCACGCATGCTTCTTCCACACACCACCACACCAAGCACCAGCATGAGGCACATAAGGAAGTAAGTAAGGAAGGCAACGGTGCAGTTGGCAGCAGCAGTGAGGGGGGGAGGGCGCGGCAGCGCATGTGGCAGGAGCTGGCAGCGGTGGTGGAGCAGTTCGTGCTCGGCACATGCGGCACCGCCCTGCTCCCAGACCTCCCCCTCTCACCCGCCCAGCCCTCACCAGCACCACCCCCAGGCCATTCCCCCCGGCGCTCCCCCAGAGTGGGGGGAGGGGAGGGCGCAGGGGGCAGTCCGCGGAGACAAGCCGCCCCTGGCAGCGGCGGTGGCAGCGGGGCAGGGCGGGCCCCAGGGGCGGGGGGAGCAGCCGTGCCTGCTGGGAGGGGGGCGGGGGAGGCAGAGAGCAGCGAATGGGGCACAGGCAGCGAGGGGAGGGGTGGAGGAGGCGTGGGCAGCAGTGGGTGGGCGGGGGAGGCGGGGTCGACACGGGGAGTGTCGGAGCTGCTGACTCGTGAGGTGGTGGAGGCGGATGAAATGCTGGAGGCTCTCTTCCTTGACACCCTCTGCACGCGCGTGCTCACCCACTGCTATGACGCGCCCCAAAAGGTTAGCACCGACTGCACTGCTTTATGATGTGTGTATCCTTCTGGCATGCATCCATCCAGTGTGAATCTATAAAGCGAGTATCCTGACCTGATAACAAAGTCATTCTATATGTCAATGCACCATTACCTTATCACCCACCTGTTACCACCTTCCCCTCTGCTGTCCTGTCTCCCACATGACCCCTCTCAACCGTGCAGGAGAGGGAGCGGCTGGTGGCAGTGCTGGATGCGTGTGCTGCACGCACCAGCGCGCTGCCCCTGGCTGCTGCAGCCGCGCTGCCAACCCACTGCGCGCGCTTCTCCCTCGCCTGCCTCTCCCGCCTCTTCATGCTCGCAGGGTGGGTGCCACTCCGCCTTGTTGCTCGCCATCACCCTTACGTGCTCCACTCATGGCATCTCCCTCAATGCACTCAACACATACCCTTGCTTTCACATGCCACGTGCATCCCTGAACTGATGTGGCAAGTGCCCTCCCCCCACCCCACGTGGCGCCTGCATGCATGTGGCCAGGCAAGGCCGTCCAGAGGACACGCTGGCATCGTCGTCGGTGGCGGTGGGGCGGCTGGTGCTGCCTCGCCTCGTGGCGCGCTGCCATGCCATCCTGCACTGCTTTACTCAAGACTCCCTGCAAGCAGGTGGCCACCGCACACACACCTGCCTCACCACTTGATCGCCGCACACGAGTAGCTCACGGGGTTGCAAGCATATCTCCGGACTTGCCTCCTCATCTGCTTCCCTGCTCAGATGCGCCCCTGCATCCCCTCACTGTCTCCCACTCTCCCTCTGCCCTGCCTTCTCGACCATATTCTCCCTGCCTGCCCCTTGTGCCTTGTCCCCGTGTGTGCGCGCGCAGGCTCAGCAGCCATGCCGGCGGTGCGGCTGGCGGAGATGCTGCTGCTGCTGCAGGAGCTGGTGCGCCTCGTGCTGCACCCCCTCGTCGCTGCCGCAGTAGACGTGCCCATCGCACCCAAGGCCACTGCCGAGGCGCACGTCACAGCACAGGCAGCAGCAGCCGGGGACACGCTCACGAGGGGTGAGGTGGAGCGGGCGTGGGAGCGGGACAGCGCAGCGCCGCGGTTTGTGGACAGCGAGGGGCGGCAGCTGGGGTGGCAGAGAGCGCACCTGCTGCTGCTCTACTCGCCCCTCTGCGACCTCGTCTTCCTCCGGTACACTTTCCACACTCCCCCCCGTCCCCCTTCCCGCTCCCCCCCTTTCAACTCGGAAACCTCAGAGAACCCCCTGTCTTTGCGTGTAAGTGGCATCTGTAGCAATATCTCCATGGCAGTTGTTGCTTTTCTGCCTCATCTGTGTTCCACCCACCTCACCCCACTCCCCATGTTACCCAAACCCTTTCCTCATGCTCCCAGACACTTTCCCGATTGTTCGTATGCATTTCTATGCTCCCATACTCATTCCAGTGCTCCCATACCCATTCCCATGCACCCATGCACCCATGCTCCCATGCTCCCATGCTCCCATGCTCCCATCTCTCCCTTACAATGATGCATCCACTCCTATGCTCCCCTGTATGGCTGGTGCAGGGATGCAGACCTGTCCAACCTGTGTGCCATCATATTTCGACTGATAGGCAATGAACTGGGCCTGCTCAGACACGCAACCCCACACCACTAGTGCCATGCGCGTTTGCTGCTAGCTCAGGCGTGAGTCGGATGCAACCGGCAGCGGCATTCGTATGGGTTTGTACGTTTGTATGAAGTTCCTCGCATGCGCATTTTAATGGCACCTGTTCCAGGTGTGACGGAGCGATAAAGATGCAGCTCTGACCCTATGGGGATGTTGAAACAAGATGAAAGCTAGCTAACCCTTTGCATGTCCCTTGCAGCCAGTGTTGAAATGGCAACACAAGTGATGTATATGCATCATCGCCTTCACATTGCCGGGCGCGGCCTGTACTAGAGGTGCTAACTCTGCACTTGGCAGTCCCAGAGCAGTCTACCTACTACAAGCAAATCCTAGTCCCACACAGGACACACGTGGGTGGGTGGGTGCCTTGACATGCGTTGGTGCACGTCTAGCCTACCCGCTGCTCAAGTACCCACTTAAGGACAGCTCTCTTCGAAACCTGCGCACACACACACACACACGAGGAGAGTCAAAACTCAGTGATGACCATCCATGCACCAAGCATGCCCCGAAGGTATTGAACGTGGGCATACAGATGGCAGTGGCAAAAGGCGATGGTGACAAGGGCAAGCACCAGACCCCTGCTCTCACCTGCGCTTGGCATCTGATGTCCCTTCCACCGTCTGCTCTTCACTGGGAGCAGCAACAGCAACTGCAGCAGCCGTAACAACGTCAACACCGCCCTCCTCTTTGCCCACACCAGTTCCCCTCTGCCTCCCCTGCCTCCCGTCCCCTTTCCTGCTCCCCTTGCTGCTGCCTGCTGTACTGCTCAGCGTGGGGCTAAGAGGGGGAGGGCAGGCGTTGGGGCCAAGCTGGGGCAGGGGCACAGGGATGGCGAGGGTGGGGGTGGAAGCATACGTGTGGCGCCTCTTTATGGCCTGAGGCACATCTGACTGAGGCGACAGGGTGGTTGCAGTAGGGCGCATGTGGTGAGTGTGGTGCTGCTCGCTCACACTCCGCTCCACTGCCCCACTCCCACCATGACGCCCCTCTGCCTGCTGCCCACTACCACCACCGCCATAATCCGTTGCCCCAACCGTGGCACCACTTCTTGCCGCACTGCCACTCTGCCCAACCCCAGCTCTGCCTCCTTTGGTAGGGCCAATAGCAGCATGGCAGCTGTTGAAGTGCTTGGGAGAGCGCGAGGATAATTGCCCCGGGGCGAGCGCCCTGCTCCCTGGGCCTCCCGGTGCACGCATGGTTGAGGCATCAGGTGCTCGGCTGCCCAGTGGGCTGCTGGGGGCACTCAGCGCTGCGCTCGTGCAGTCCATGCTGCCAGTCTTCACATGCCTGCCCTGTGCGCGTGGGCTGGTAGAGGGAGCGCGGCTGCTGGGCGCCCGCGGGCTGCGTGGCGTGTGCTGGCTGCTGCCCTCTGACAGCAGCGCTGCCACACCCTCACTGCCACGCGCTGCCTGCTGCTGCTCACACTTCCCAATACGGGAAGAGAACACAGCAGGCGGCGGCATGTGGTTGCTACGCGGAGACAGCTGGGAGTGGGGACTGGGCAGGGTGGGTCGGGTGCGTGCTGAGTTGCTGCAATTCACAGCACCGCGCGGGCTGCTCAAAGGACTGCCCAGGGGGCTGTTCAGGGGGCTGTTCAGGGGGCTGTGCTGCGAGTGGCCAGGGGCGAGGGGCGGCGACAGAGAGAGTGGAGGGACCAAGGGGTTGGAGGAGCGGAGGGGGTGGGAGGGGCTGGCAGCAGGGCGGTGGGCGGGGTCAAGGGCGTGGGGCGGGGCAGTGCCCCGAGGGGAGGCAAGGCTGCCAAGGCTCACAGAGCTGCGCGGTGCGTGCGAGCGTGGCTTGGGGCTCACAGCAGGTCGGGGGCTTTGAGGTGGCTTGGACGGCGGAGAGGAGTGGCTGTGGAAGCTGGCAGACATGGCATTCACGCTGCCTGCATCGTCACCATGGCCCCTCTCGCCCCGCCTCTCCTGCCTCGCCTCCTTCGCCTGCCTGTGCCTCGCCGTGCCATCATCCGCTGTGAGCCACTCCTGCTGGGATGAGGGGTAGAGGTCGCTGGGCGCCGGGCAGGGCGAGGCTGTGAGAGGGCGGTGGGGGGAGAGAGCCCCATCGGAGAGGAGGGGAAGCACGGGGCGGGGAGGGGCGGAAGCTTGGCGGGGAACGGGAGGGGAGTGGGTGGTGGTGGGGAGGGGCGCCCACTGTACCGTCGCACCTTCCTTGGATCTGCTTCGCTGCATTCCCTCCTGCTCTTGCCACTCCTGCTGCTGCAGCCACTGCGCTCGCTGCTGCTGCCTCGCACTTAGAACCGCTCTGACCTGCTCCTCCTCCCTGCCTCGCTCCCCGTGCCCACCTGCCCCTCTCCCACCCGCGCTGCTCGCTGGCGGACTGCCACCTCCCACAGTCGCCTGCACGCGCAGCTGCTCGCCCTCACCCCCACCGCGCACGTGCCCACCGGCCTGTGTCATGCCCGCGTCCATCCGCTCTTCCCCGCGCTGCACGCCCGCTGTGCCCGCCACGCCAGGCGCCAACCTGTCCGCCCCCCTGCCACTCCCCTGCTGGATCCCCGAACCTTCTGCTGCCTCCCCCTCTGCACCCCCTGCTGCTGCCGCCTCGTCCGTGCTCTGCACTGCCCCATTCCAACTCACGCCTCCCCGCCTGCCCTCCGGGTCCGCGCGCCCTCCCACCGCTGCCTCCCCCAGCTCCGCGGCCTCTCGCTGTTCCGCCTCCGCCACTCGCCTGCGGTGCTCCACGAAGCTCCGCACCACCACCACCTGCGACCGAGGCGACGCTGCTACTGCTGCTGCCGCCGCCGCACAGGGGGAGCGCGGCGACCTCAGGAGCGACTTGGCGGATGCTGCTGCGGGGTCGTTGGAAGGAGCGTTGGGAGAGAGTTTGGGGGAGGCGTGGGGGGAGGTGGAGGGCGACAAGGGCGGGCAGCGCTGGTGCAGCACTTTGAGCGCCTGCTGCTGCGCGCTCTGCTGCGCGCTCTGCTGCGTGCTGGGCTGCAGGCTGGCGACGGAGGTGCGGCGCACGTTCAGCTGCGGCAGGGCTGCCTTGGCGCGCCATCTGCTGCCCCGCCCACTGCCAGACGCCCACCCCTTGTCCTCTTCCCCTGCACTCGCCCTCTCCCCCGCGCCCTCCCCCATCTCAGCAGTCACTGTCTGCTCTTTTCCGCCCTCGCTGCGCCTCCCGCCCGCCACGGGCTTGCGCCATCCGCCGCCCCGCAACGGGCTGCTCCCACCGCCACCCGCAACCTCCGCTTCCGCCGACCTGCGCGCGTCAGAGAGCGACGCAGGCGGGGCGGCGGCGAGCGCAACGGGCGACGCGATTGGGTCGAAGGTGCGGCTTTCCAGAATATCCGGCGCCTCGGCGCTCGTCGCCGATACAGCGCGCGCCACCGACGCTGCGGCGGCTCTGGGCGAAGTGGTGGACCTGGGCGAAGAGCGTAGGGTTACCGACTTGGCGAAGGCGGGAAGCGACCAGGCGGTATCCGACGGGGAGGTGGGAGCGGCGGGGGGCTGATGGGGGAGCGGAGGTTGGGGGAGGAGCGCGACCACTGCCCCAGCTGGAGGAACGGCAGCGACCCCGCCGACTTGGACGGCTTGTGCCCCGCCGCCCGCTCCGCTTCCGCTCGCACCTCCCCGTCCCCGTGCGCCTGCGCCTTGCCGTCCGCCGTGGGAGTGAGGGGATGCCGTGGTGACGACTGGGCGTCCGCAGGGAGCGCGGAGGGGTGGAGCGGGGAGGAGAAGGAGAAGGAGAAGGGTACGGCCGCCGCCGACCACTGGCGCGTGTGACGCGCGCTGCGCGCCTGCTGCGGCGACGAGAGCGGCGACCCCGCCGACCACAGCGAGCGAACGCGGCGATTGGTGAAGCTGCCGCTGGCAAGGCGGCGGGGCGACGAGGTCGCAGCGGGCGACGCATCGCTGGGCGACCGCAGGCTGCGCGTGCTGTCGCTCTCCTCCACCTCCTGCCACAACGCCTCCAGCCGCTCCTGCGCCTCCAGCCGCTCCTGCGCCTCCAGCCGCTCCTGCGCACCCTGCGCCTCCTGCGCCTCCTGCCTCTCCTGCGTGCACGGCACGCGCAATGCAGGCGGATTGTCCGCGCCGACAAGCGGAGAGGAGTCGAGCGGTGGGCGAGCGGGGGACGACATGAGGTCGCGGAGCTCGGTGCGCTCTGTCCCCGCGCTGCACGGCGCGCTGACGGTGCTCGGCGGTACCTCACATAGCAGTACGGCGGATGCCGCAACCATCCGCGCGACTGTACGGCGCAGGCGATGAGAGGAAGGAACGAGACGTGTGAAACGAGGTGCGCGCCATGGGGTGGTGCGAGGCGAGGATGTGGACAGATGTGCGAGGGTAACTCGTATCCGTGCAGGCAGGAAAACTAGGGCTATGACTGGCTGTGGTTCAGGCGGGCTGGGCTGCTTTGCTGTCTGCCTGTTGCATGCATTTTTGGAGGTGCTAATGGATTGGATTGGGTGATGCGTGTCACCTGTGAATATTCGCGCTGCTGCGAGAAACCGTTCTAGAGTGCCACAGCATCGCACTCAACCGCTTCAGCCTGGCAAAAGTCACCCCTCCAAATCGTGATTGGATCGGACGACGGTGAGCGTCCACCGGGTGACCCGAGGGTTGCGATCAAAATCACGTGACCGCAAGTGACGTGATGATGCTGAGATACTTTTGGCTTCGGCTGCGCGTTGAATCACGCACGACCCGCACACCCCTTCTCCCCTCCTCTCTTCACCCCTCCGCCCTTCCCCTCCCCTCCTCCTCCCCTCCCCTCTCCTACCTGCCCAATTCGTCCCAACTGCAGGCCAGTGGCGAGTTCGGTACAAAGGGATAGTGTGTGGTGCATTTTCAAAAGCATTGGAAGCCTATTTGTGATTCGAGTTGTTGACACCTTTTCCACTGGTTGCTGCTGACAAGGGCGACAACACCAAGCTCAGCGCCGCGATATCCGCACCACCACGACAGCAACTCAGCCTGCCCTTCTCTCCGCGCGTACTTTCGACAGCGCTCGCTTCCGTTCGATGGTGCTTGCGCACTCTCCTCCCATCCCCCCCGCCTCCACCCCTTACAACCTCCTCTACCTTCTCTCCTCTTTCTCTTTCCCGCCCTGCTCTCTCTTTGCCTCTCTCGTCGCGCGTGGGGCAGCGGCAGCGTGCGATAGGTGTGGGGTATCCACGCGTAACCGTGTCCGGGTCTGCGTTAGACAGACCTGGACGGATGTCCATAGCCCATGCGTGACCGATGTCCATATCCGATGCGTGATTTAAGTCGATGGGAAGTGGTAGCGTGACGGGAGTCCATGGATACCGAGACGGAACCGCTTCGTGTCAAGGCAACGGGCTTTAAGAGGCGCCACTATGTGAAGCTCCCGGCGCTCCGCCGGTCCCCCGAGCCCAAACGACCGCCGGGCAGCATGGCGGAAGCCCCGCTGGTGCCGCGGACGGCCAGCGGAGGCGGCGGCAGCGGAGCAGTGGATGGGGGGAGCGGAGGCGCGGGGTTGGGGGGAGCCGACAAAGAGGGCGAGCAGGCGTCGCGGAGCGCGTGTCCGTTTGTGGCGCCGACGCTGGCGTTTCTGGTGGCTCGGCGGCGCGCGGTGCTGCTGTGCGCGTCGGCGGCGTGCGCGGCGGTGGCGGCAGGGCTGTTCTGCCTGGTGTACTTCCTCCACCTCGCCTCCTACCAGGTGCCGCGCGCGTGCCGCCTCGCACGCACAAGGGCTCCGTTGGAGGGCGGGCTGGGCAACAGGGCTGGGGCAGGAGGGGGTTGGGCGAAGGGGTTTGGACGATGCTGGGAGCAGTGTATCGTGACACTCTGGATTGCATTGTCATGTGTCGGCCGTCTCTGTTGCATGATCTTAACGGTTTGTGGGATGTGGTGCTTCTGTGTGTGATGTGCTGTGTGAGATGCGGTGCTGCTGTGTGTGATGTGCTGTGTGTGATGTGGTGCTGCTGTGTGTGATGCGGTGTCCACTGCACGTGCGTTGTGCTGCGCGCCGTGCAGGAGTCTCTGTCATCGCAGTGTGCGTTGTGGGCGCACGAGTTGGGCAGTGCACTACAAGCATCGCTGGGAGGGGTGCGCGCGCTGGGAGACACGCTCACAGTGCTGCACGCGGCGGTGGACCAGGTACGCATGCTGCCACGTGCTGCCACTGCATTGGAGCGCCTCGTTACATGGAGCGGCTCCCGTCATCCGCTGTTGCTTCAGCTACTGTGGCAGCGCCTCCTACCTAGATTGCTCGTTGCTCGTTGCTGCTTGCTGCTTGCTCAATCGCTTGGTTGCTCGTTGCTCGTTGTTGGTTGCTGATTGCTCATCGGCGCGACCACTCTCCCCTCTGCTTGCCCCCTGCACGCGGGGAGCGCAGCAGGCGGCGTTTACGCGCCTGGTGGCCGCCACCGACTACACGCGCCCGCTGCTCGCCTTCCCTCCCCCGGCCCCTCTCGCCGCTGCAGCAGACGCGGGGGCGAGTGGGTGGGGGCAGGGGGCGAGCGCCATGGGGTATGCGCTCTCGCTCAACCACTCCTCGCGCGGCGCCGTCCAGAACAGCTTCCTCAACGCCACCTGCATCTGGTGCGTGTGCGGCCCCCTATCATACGCAACCCCATCCTTGTCCCCTCGTGCCACATCATCTCGCACTTGATTTATGTAACCCGTACAGTCACCACCCCTCACATTCTCTCCTCCCTCCAGTCACATTCCCCTCCACCCCTCAGTCTCTCCCGCTTTTGCATCCTCTCTTCTCTTCACATTCTCTCCTCCCCTCACATTCTCTCCCTCCTCACCTTGTCGCCTCCCCCCCCAGTAGCTCCGTGCTGCCCAACCGTCCACGTGCACACCATTCCCGGACCTCCGCCCTATGCTCACCCTCCGCCTGCCCTCTGCACTCTGTTTGCTGTCCGCCCTGCATGCATGTACGCGTTCAGGAATGTGAGTGGAGAGTGCGCGCCTCAGCAGCAGCACTACCTGCCGCTGCTCCACTACTCGCCCACCCTCGCCACCATCCTCTCTCACCTCGCCACCGCCAACAGCAGCAGGAGTGGCGTGGGGGCGGCGTATGTGGGACTGGACATGCTTTCTGGTGTGTGTGGTGAAGAGGGGGGAAAGGGTGGGTGGTGCGGGCTGTGATTTTAAAACGTGTCTGTTGGTGTGGTTGTTGCTACTATATGCAGAAACTACCTCATGCCATCAGTTTGGATCGAGTCGTCTGTGCCGTTGCCTGCCAGCCACCCATGCCAAAGCGCACACCCGACTCGCTACGAGCTTCATAGAAATGCCTCTCCCACAGTCAGCACCAGCATTGCACATTTGCTGAAGCACAAACCCTGCACGCCAAAAGTCAGCTCCCCTCCTTTTAACCTGCACCTGCGGATGCCCACCCCCCTCCCCCTCTTCCATACAGTCCCCCAGCTGGGCCCCGCGGTTGCCGTCTCATCGCTCTCCGCCCTCTCGGCCCGCCTGCCCTGCACCCTCTCCCCGCCCTTCGCCCCTCGCTTCCCCTTCCCTGACAACTCCTCCTCCGTGCCCACCTCTTCCCCCTCACCCACCACCATCAAATCCTCCTCTTCGACCACCACCAGCAGCGGCAGCAGCAGCAGCAGCGACCAATCATGGTCGTTCCCTGCTAATACATCTTTCTCGTCGTCATTGGCAGCAGCAGCAGCAGCAGCAGCAGCAGCAGCAGCAGCAGCAGCAGCAGCAGCAGCAGCAGCAGCAGCAGCAGCTGAGTGGCCAGCGGAGCAGCAGCGGAGAGCAGTGGTGGCATCAGTGCCCGTGTATGGACGAGCCGTGCCGCCCAACGCCACGTCAGACGAGATGCAGGCAGCAGTGATTGGATTCGTATTTGCAGTGGCTGACATGCAGCTCGCCCTCTCGCAGCTCTCTCAGGTACTTCCATCCCCGCCTCATGCCATGCCTCCTCTCACCCGTGCTCCCACTGCTCCTCTTGTCTCAACATGGCAGTTTAAGCCGAGCTGCCCAACTTGCACTTCGCATCCCCCACATCATCATCCATGTGCTGCCCGCCTCCTGCTCCTGCCCCTCTCTCCCTCTCCCCCCTTTCTCCCCCTGTTGCAGGCGCCATCCAGCGGCAGCAGCAGCTGTGGGTCAGCGGCGCTGCAGCTGCAGCTGCAGGACACCACCGCCCCCACCACCACGCTCGTCCTCGCCCAGTATCCCCCGCTGCAGCCCCCCGCCGTGCCTGAGGCGCCCTCGTCCTTCCCTGCAGCGCACGTCGTGCCTCTGCCGGCAGTGGGTCGCCAGTACACCCTCGCCTGCAGGTACCACCGCCCCGCACCCTGTTGTACCTTGCTTTGCTCTCCGCTCCTTATCAGTGTCTCTCCTCACACCTGCAACATCCCCTCCGCGTCCCTTCCGTTCCCCCTCCTGTTCTTCAAGTTTATTTTGCCCCTCGTCCCCTGCGCCCTGCACCTTGCCCCCATGGTCTGTGTCCCGCGTGTCCCGTGCGTGCCCGTGGGCGCAGGTACCAGTCACGGCCGTTCCCGTACATGGCGGTGGTGTGGCCGTGTGTGGCGGTGGCGGGAGCAGCGCTGGTGGTGGCGGTGGTGTATGTGGTGGCGGGCGAGGTGGTGCGCGTGGAGGGCGACCTGCAGCGCATGGCAGCTCTCAAGGAGCAGATGCGCGCCGCCAAGGTCGCTGCCGAGGCCGCCAGCCGCGCCAAGGGCACCTTCCTCGCCACCATGAGCCATGAGATCCGCACTCCCATGAACGGCGTCATCGGTGCGTGCGCTCTGCTCTGCTGTCCGCTGCTCTGCTCTGCTGCGCTGTTCTGTGCTATGCTGTGCTGTGCCCACGCTGCCTCCGAGCACTGGATTGTGCAACCCTAAACCCGAAATCCATGGGTCACTGCATGCATGCACGAATGGCTGCATGTTTGCAACCTCTGATGTGTAGTCCAATGATGCTTCCGTTTTTACCCTTCCCCACCTTCCCTTCCCTTCCCCTCACCCTCCCCTTCCCCCCCCCGGGCATGGTTGACAGGCATGCTGAACCTGCTGCTGCAGACGCCGTTGGACGCGGTGCAGCTGGACTACGTGGAGACGGCGCGCACCAGCGGCAGGGCGCTCTGCTCCCTCATCAACGACATCCTCGACCTCTCCAAGATCGAGGTGCGCTGGGCCCCACACTCCCGCACCCCACACCCACATGCCGCTCGCACCCCACACCCGCGTGTCCCTCTCACTCCACACCCACGTGCTCCGCACTGCACCACACGCCTCCACTCTGCTCCATACTTGCAACACTTCCCTAACTCACGCCTGCACACAGCATGCCATCGACTCGGCACAGAATGACACCACCATCGAACCGAGTGGCTGCATTCATCCATCACGATCAAGTCGCTCTCCTCCCTATATCTCAATTCCTGCTCTAATGGTTCCTTCCCTGCGCTATCATGCCCCTTCTCCCCCCCTCCCCTCCCTCCATGGGTGTGTGTGGTGGGCGCGTGCACGCGGGGATGAGGGCAGGCGGGGCGGATGGAGTTGGAGAGCATGAGGGTGGACGTGAGGGCGGAGATAGACGACGTGCTGAGCATGTTTGTGGAGCGCACGCGCAACAAGCCGCAGGTCGAGGTGGCCGCGCTCGTGCACGACGCCGTGCCCACGTTTGTGCTGGGCGACGCGCTGCGGCTGCGGCAGGTGCTGATCAACCTGCTGTCCAACAGCTGCAAGTTCACGGCGCGCGGCCACGTGCTCATCACCGTGCGCACCGCCGCCCCGCACGACCACCTCGCCGTCCCCGGCGCCCACTTTGCCGACGCCCGCTCCCTCGCCCGCACCTCCCTTGCCGACTCCGACCGCGCTGCTCCCAGCACCAGCGCCGCTGCAGTTACTAACACACCCGGTGCCGATGGTGCGGGTGCAGCAGGAGGCGGGTGGAGCTCCACCCCTGCCCCAGCTGGAGGTGCTGCCGCAAGTGCAGTGATGACTGCGCCTGCTGCTGGTGGTGGTGGTGGTGGCAAGACCGTAGTGGCGGATGCAGGTGGTGCACGGGGAGAAGTGAGTGCGCGTGCTGGGACAGCGCCGGGTGCTGGGACAGCGCCGGGTGCTGGGACAGCGCCGGGTGCTGGGACAGCGCCGGGTGCAGCGCCTGGAACAACACAACCGGCAAATGGCAGGAGTGGGGAGGGCGGAGAGGAAACTCGCAGGTTGGGCGGAGGTGACTCAGATGCATGGGAGGGAGAGGTACACGGGGAGAAGGACCAGTGTTCCGGTGAGGCGGGCGCAGGGGAGATGATTGATGGGGGCTTCTCCGGCGGCGTCACGCAGGCTCGAGTCGAGGCGGTTGGTCAGATGGGCGCAGAGACAGGCAGTGATGGGCAGGGGCAGGGGCAAACGGGGCAGCTGCAGAACAAAGAGATGGGGCAGGGGCAGAGGCAGGGGCGGAGGGCGAGGCAGGGGGAGTTTGAGACGCTGAGTGGAGTGGAGGCGGTGGAGAGCTGCAACAGCTGGGCGCGCATCCAGGCACTCATGGAGCGCCCCCCCCAGGCAGGCCCGCCCCCCGGCCACCTGCAGTGCACGCCTGCTGGGCCGCACAGCAGTGGTGGGGCTGCGGGCAGGGCGGGGGAGCAAGGCGGAGGTGAAGCACAGAGTGGGATGGTGCGGCTGGTGGTGTCCGTTGAGGTGAGCAGCGCACTGCTGGTAGGGACATGAACCGCTGGTGTCCTGTGCCAAGGAGTCAATCAGTGGTTCGTGGTGCAATAAAGCCAGTGGCATGCTGTGATATGAAGTGATATATGCCTTGTTTCACAGACACTGGCATGCGGTGAATATGGTGTGACCAAGGCACTGTGACTGAAGCTACTGTGATTGCCTCTGCTCTCATCACCCCCACTGCATGCTGGCAGGACACGGGGCACGGCATACCGTGGCCGGCGCAGCCTCGTCTGTTTCGGCCGTACGTGCAGGCGGATATCAGCACGACGCGCACACACGGCGGCACGGGCATCGGTCTGTCCATCTCGCAGCACCTGGTGGCGCTGATGGGCGGCAAGCTGGCGTTTGTGAGCCGGCCGGGCGTGGGCACCACCTTCTTCTTTGACATCACGCTGCCCTTTGAGAACCCCCCAGACCCCTCCCATGACGCCCCCGCCGCTGCTGCTCCTGCTGCCGCCAGCAAGAGAAGAAGTGCCCCCGCACTTGCCTCTCGTGTCTCTGACCTTCAGGTGCGTGCGAGGCTGCTTGCTGTGTCAGCGTGAGGACCTTATTCGGTGTTGGCAGCCCATATCAGTGGCACTGGTCACAGGAGTGACAGTCTGCCTTGCAGCGAGCGCAATTACCGTGTCTCTATGCATTCACTGTGCCTCCGTGCATTCACTGTCCCTCCATGCATGCCCGCCCCTCCTGCTCGCCTGGTGCACAGGGGTGCACAGCGGTGGTGCTGGACGACCGGGCTGTGAGGCGCGCCGTCACAGCCACGTATCTGCGCCGCCTCAGGCTCAACGTGCTCCTCGCTCGCCGCTGGGAGGACCTCCCCCCACTCCCCGCCCTGCCACTGTCCCCCTCCCCTCCTGCCCCGCCTGCTCCTGCCACTCCCCCCCAAGCTACCCCAACCTCCTCGGGCCCACTGGCAGTGGTGGGCGTGGTGCCCCCTGCACTGCCAGGAGTGGCAGCAGCATCGCTGGCGGGGCATGAGAGTGGTGTGGCTCCCCCCTCACATGCCGGGCCATCTGTTGCCGCAGGAGTGACGGCAGGCGCAGCGAGCACAGCAGCAGGCAGTGCGGGTGGCGGCGGGGCGGGCCCCCCAGCGGGCAGTGCGTTCCTGCTGGTGGACGCTGAGACACTCGCCCGCCATGCCCGCGCCTGGCGCCACTCATTGCCCACGCCACCTGCGCGCACACATGAGGGAAAGCGGGGCGAGGGGGGCGAGCCTGGGGTTGGAATGGCAGGCTTGGGCACGGGCAGGGATGGTGATGGGGCGTGGGGGGATGTTGCAGGGGCGGAGGCAGAGGCAGAGGCAGGGGCAGGTGTGGGGCGTGATGGGGCAGGTGGAGTGGAGTGCGCAGCGCGCATTGTGCGTGCAGGCAGCGAGATGACACCCGTCCACCCGTCGTCGCCGGGGAGGGCAGGAGACGAGTCGCCACAGTTCTGTGGGCCCCTGGCAGCCTCTGACGGGGCTGCCACACCCGCCCTCGGCACACTGGCGTCTGCCACGCCCCCCTCCCCTGCTGGCAGCGTGGAGAGCCCCGACGGCAGCAGTGGCGCTGGCAGTGGCGCCATGGCAGGTGGCGGCGGGGGAGGCAGTGGCGTGCTGACAAGCGCTGCTGCCATGGCCACTGCTGCTGCCTTCTGGACCAGCCGACAGCAGCAACAGCCGGGGGGAGTGGAGGAACAGCAGCAACAAGAGCAAGGAGTGGGGGAGTGGCCACAGCAGCAACAGCGATTGGGGGAACAGAGGCAACAGCAGCAAGAAGCACATGAGAAGAAGCTGAGTTCACAGTGGCAGTCACAGCAGCAGGACCAGCAGGAGCAGGAGCAAGAGCAGCAGCAGCAACATGTGAAGCATTCACTTCCTGTGCAGCCGTTGCAACAGGAAAGTGGAGGGAGTGAGAGGGTTGATGAGGAGCATCGTGATGCAGCGGGGGTTGGTGGGAGTAGTGCTCTAGCCAGTGCAGTTTCCAGGGGCACAGGCACAGGGACAGGCACAGGCACAGGTTCAGGCACGGATGCGGACACGGGCACGGGGTTGAAGTTGAGTGCGGGTATGGGTATGGCCATGGGCAATGGCATGGGCATGGGCATGGGTGCATGGCGCATGGTGCTGCTGGTGCGCGAGCCGAGCATGGAGAGCGTGGCCGCCCAGGCGGGCTTCCACGCCACGCTGCTGAAACCCATCCGCCGCGCCGCCCTCGTGGGCGCGCTGCTGCAGGCCGCCAAGCACGGCAGCGGCGGGGGCAGCAGCAGCAGTGCACAGGGCGCAGAGGGCGGGCAGGGCACCTTGGGTAGGCGAGGGGAAGGAGGATCTGAAGGAAGGAGAGGGACAGAAGTGTCAAGTCCTGATGATTTCAGAGGCGTGATGGGTGGGGAGCACGAATACGTGGTTGTGGTGGACAACGGGGCAGAGGATGCATGTGGGGCAGAGGATGCATGTGGGGCAGAGGATGCCTGTGGGGCAGAGGATGCATGTGGGGCAGGTGCAGGCGAAGCAGAGAGAGTGGATGGAGGAGCATCTGTGGAGTCAGACATGGCTCTCTTCCCTGTCACGCTCACGGGAAGGAGCGGAAACAAGGAGATGCATCTGAAGCAGGTGGAGGCAGGAGAGAGGAGTGGTGGCGAGAGGAGAGTGGCGGTGGAAGGGCGGGGTGGCAGCAGTGCGGCGGTGGCGAGTCCCAGGGCGAGGAGGGTGGCTGAGCGTGCCCCACAGTCGCTGACTCAGATGCTCACTGCAGTGCTGCATGGCAAGCACTTTCTGGTGGTGAGTTTCTGTTGGACTCATTGCAGCTGCTTGGACATGTAAGGCCTAAGCACCAGTGGCACTGGGTTGAGTGCACTACTGCCCCGTTCGTATGTGTAATGTGGTGTGGTGTGGTGTGGTGTGGTGTGGGTGTGCAGGTGGACGACAACATGGTGAATCGCAAGGTGATAGCCAAGATGCTGGAGCGATACAAGGTGCACGTGGTGCCTGTCGTGGGGGGTGCTGTGGCCGTGGCCAAGGTGGTGCCGGGCCACGCCTTCCACTGCATCCTCATGGACGTCCAGGTCAGCTCTCCGCCTTCTCTGCATGCCCGCTGCACGCTGGGGCTGCAGCCTGGGCAGCACTTTACTGCTAGCTACTGTATGCTTGTCACCCCCCACCTCACAAATCCATGTTTCTTTCTGCCCTCACTGCATCCAGATGCCGGGTATGGACGGATTCGAAGCCACAAGGCAAATTCGCAGGCAAGAAGCGAAGTACAGGCTCTCACAGACTCCGATATTTGCACTAACAGCGGACATCTTTGCAGGGACTCGGGAGAAGTGCATCGAGTCTGGCATGAACGGCTTCTTGTCAAAGCCTATAGAGGAGGAGCAGCTGTGGAACGTGATTTACAAGTACTTTTTGCCATTTGACAGACTCTTCTTGTGGAAACGCCTCCAACAATTAGTCCACCATTTTAAGAGTGCCTGTTAGGGCCGTCGGACCCTGCACTGGATGCGGGTCCAGTCAGCAGGAGCTGTCAAAATGATTGAAACCAATTAT